ATCGCCACCAGCCCTGCCTCATTTGCTCCTGTGTTCTACCTGTGTTTGCTCCCGTGTGTGTACCACAGCCATCATTGAGGAGAGAGCAGTTGTGCCTGTTCCCTCAGTCACTCCAGTCATTGCTTCTGCTGCACGGAGCACAAAGAATGCAATCAGAGGGGCAAGAAATGTGGTCTCACAAGTTTCCCTCATTGGTCACTTGTCCAACTTCCTTCAGTGGTCAGAAAAGCGATAACAGGAGTTTCATGACAATGGTCCACGAGGCCTCCTCAGTGTAGCTATGAATACTTTGTGTGTGGCAATTGTTGATAACAATATTATTTACAAACCCCCTTTCAAATATACTTTTACAAAACGTTTTTTCCCATAGTCTCACTTTACTTTTGGTTGAGCTCAAGCGAAAGCCACGTCATTGGGATAAGATGGTGTCATCGCGTAGGTTTTGCTGGATCAATCCATCTAGACGTACCACCCCCTCATGTGGCGGACAGACGCGGCGCCACTTTTGGGTTGAAATGCACGTAAGGTCGGCTGTTATAGGCCAAATTCATCACGGGGCTTCGCATCGATCCTTCCACCTTCGCGAAGGGGGACCTGGGCCACTCAAAATCCTGGTCAGCAAGTAGATCTTCGATCCGATTGGAGGAAAGGATGCGCGAGTGAAGCACACCCACAAATGGTTGCTTTTCGGCCCCACGCGTGCAAGGTTTTGTGGAAGGCAAGCAGGGGGGCCATGATTCAACTTCCAGGGCGGCGGCAGGGGCTTGATGAATGCTTTCATTTCAACTGCTTACGTGGATCCCCTGGTTAGTGGATATTGCCAGATCAGTTTCCGACAGGGATTGGCGCTTCCACTGACCTACCAGTTGAAATGGATCAGATTTCGAGTTGGCGCGAAACACGAATCGAAAGGGGGTCACTTGCGGGGACCACTGTCGATTACATCGCTTGATCGTTGGTCTGGCCGATCGCAGCGCCTGCCACGCGGGACATCGGAAAGACACAGCTGGCGTGGCCCTCTCTTGGCACTCCAGAAAAGAATGATGACCGCAATACACACGCGGATTGCATACGTGGCGCGACACCTCGAGATTTTCTCGGGCAGGGAGAGGCGCGAAGATGATTGCGTCATCCCCCTTGGAGTTGCTTTTGCGTTGGCATTGTCACAGTCATCCCCCCTTCACTTCACACATCGGCATGACCTATCCTCCTCCGTGCACACCTCTCCTGCCTACCTTACCCAATGCTCGTCCACTCCACTCCATCCACCGATCCTTCTACATAGCTCTTATTATTCGTACTGTTTCTTAGTTTCTACTCTGAAGCACCTATTTCTCTTGATTCCCTCACTCACCCTTCTTTTTTGCGGCAAGTGAGCCTGTTTTCCCCGGTGATCTTCACCTGCTCGATGCAACTTCTGCTGACCGGTTCAAGCTCTACAGACATTCCTCGCGAGCGAGCACGTTTTGATTGGAAGGCACAGCTGGTTTCATGACAGAGGTCCACATTACCTTACCTCGCGGTTTCCGGCCTAAGGACGAAAGCCAGAAGCTTGCTCAGATGTGGAGTGCTGCCAACCACACCCAAGCAGCACGCATCCATTCCATTTCGCTTTTTCCCGTGAAAATGGACTCAGCCAACGGCAAGAGCGGTACCAACAGCCCAGCTTCGCCCTTCCAGTTCTTCCCCACCACGCCTGTGCGACCGATGCCGTCCCTTTCTCCCGCTTCTTCTCCGGGGTCTTCCCACGTGACTGCTGTCTCCTATAAAGACTACCCCTCGTCGCCGATCGGCTTGAGCCTCAGCCCTCCCTGCGCCACATCAGCCCAAAGCGACGACGACTACGTGTCTCCCTCTGCTGAATCATCGAAGGCCTCTGCTGACATGTCCTCCCATCCGGAGCTACCGAAGGCAATCGAGGCCCAGCCAGCTCCCGTTCCTCACCCTGCCGCCGCGGAGAAGGTATCCAAGGCAACTTTGTCCGTCGTGACCCCATATCCTCCCTTCCCTGCGCCCACAGCAGCAGCAGCAACAGCAGCTTCTTCGTTCCCTTTCGCGCATCTTCCGCCCTACCGGGCAGCATCTGCGGCCGGTTGGTGGGCTCCCTTCGTCGCGTTTCCCTCCCACGCCCTGCCCACTCTCTCGCCCGCCGCCGGTCAAGCGCAGCAGCAGGCGCCGGGGACGCAGCCGAAGCCGTTTGTTGCGAATGTGGCGCCGTGGTTTTACTTTGGTCCTCCGCCTTTCCTTCCCCGCCCGTATCCGGCCGTACTGCCTTCCGCCGCCGCTGTGGATATGCATCTGGAGCCCAAGACTGGATTGGCTGTTGCGGCTTCTACGCAGTCTGGTGCTGCTTCTTCCGTCTCAACGAAAGCTTCTGCTAAGCGAAACCCGTCAGCGAAATTGATGGCGAAGCCAGTGGAGGTGTCACCACGGGAGCGGCTGCCGTCGGGATTTCGCCCGTGGAAGGCTGCGGGCGGGAGCTGCGGGTCGAATGACACGTCAGCTCTGCTCTCGTCCAATGGCGCCACGTCAGCGGGCTCCGCTGCCGCTGCTGCCGCTGCCGCTGTAGAAGCCTGCGCGTCCTCCCGCCAGGTTGTTCCATTCACGCTGAAGCCATGCAGCCAAAGCACGGAGGGTCTTCAGCAAATGAAGGCGGACGGACAGCCAATACAGCCAGCAGCGCAGCAGCTACGGGGGCAAGCGGGTTCGGTCAATGCTGTCAACACAGTCAACGCTGTTAGTGCGATGAGCCAATTGCCCATTCCTCTTCACATCCTCCCAGCTATCTCCCCCATTCCAAGCATCCCTTCTGCTGCTGCCGATCAAGCCAGGGCGTATGCCTGCAGCATGGGACAGTATCCCAACTACCCCTGGAGCGCAGCAGCAGCTGCTGCTGCTGCTGCGGCTGCTGGTGCTGGGGGTTTGGGGTTTATGAGGCCTGGGGAAAGGGTTTCTGCAGAGGCTGAGGCAGGAGTGGTGGGGGAGAAGAGGAGGCTTGGAAGGGCTGAGGCTGCAGCTGCTGGCTGCGGTGATGCTCAAGGGAAGAGGAAGAAGAGGCAGAAGCACTCAGTGGAAGTGCTCCCTGCTGGAGGTCGGTCAGATGGAGTAGGTTGTGGTGTAGTAGAGGGTCTGGGGAGTTCAAAGAAGGATGACGAGAGTGGAGGCATGGAGCGAGAGTGCGATAATAACTTGAAGAAACAGGAGGATAGGGAGAAGGAGAGGGAGAAGGAGAAGTCGTGCAGGAACTGCGGGACGCACACGACCCCCTTTTGGAGGAAGGACCGGTCGGGGAGTGGGCAGCACCTGTGCAACGCGTGTGGGTTGTACCTCGCCAAGAATGACGCCCCACGGCCCTCCGTGCTCTGGAAGAAAGGTGAGCACTGCTGTGCGTTTGCCATGATTATTCCTTATAATTGCAATATGTTGGCTGTACTATACGAAAAACCAAGCGAAAAGTGTTTACCACAGAAGAGCTCCTGGACATCATTCACGTGCACTGTGAACTGAAATGTTGTGCTTACTCAATAGACAGCAACATTTCGTGTCAAGCAATCAAGCCCTCAGACAGCTAATTTTCTTGTGTTCCCCTTTTCTATGTGTGTCTTTGAACAGAGTCGCATGGGCCCACAGACAGCAGCTGCAGCGGACAAACTTCAGTAGCTCCCAAGGCCTGAGAGGAGGTCTCTAAAGCACGTGCAAGTGTGCCTGAGCTACCTTGCAGCTGACCCTACTGCTTACTCTGATACTACAGTAAACCTGCTCGTTACCTGACAGACTAACCTGCAACCTTGCAGCATGCCATTCACTCCACCTATTCTGCAGCTTGCCTTGATTTCTGACTGCAGCCTTGGTTCCGTGAATGGGGTGGGGGAGTCCTTGGCAATAATGAATGGCTGGCCGTGCTGGCTCTGAGGTTGCAATGTAGAGCACAAAACTGATGAGTAGCTAATTTTAAATTCGAGTGTAACTCAGTACACGAGTGATGACAGGCATATTGTAGAAGTTTGTCTCGAAAGTTCAGGCTAGCAATATGAAGAAGGCAAGAAGACCTGAAGTTTTAAATTCATATTCAGTGTCTGAATGGCGTAAATAATCCATATTTGGTAAAACATGGCCTTGAAAACAAGATTTATGGTGCCCAATTTCGTTTCGAGGTCATAAGTAAAAAAATACGGTATAAAACGCCTCTATTAGCGAAAAGGCCCGTATTGGTTGTTTATGCTGTAACAGCGAGGTACGCTATAGAGGATCAAAGGTTGACATTGACAAACCTGAAGGTTGGTGGCCGACAACCCTGAAGGTTGACCTCACCTCACATGGAGACGAGGGACGGCAATTTCAACACTCTAATGGCGTGTGACATTTCCAACGTAACGGGCTTGGGGTGGTAATTTCGGGTGGTTACCAGTCTGCGAAATATGCGAGCAGTTTCGCGAATACCCTCAATTAAATATGTCACATCTGGGTACGTCCCGCTAAAATTACAGGGCTCGCTCGCGCATGTCCGAACCTGCCAGACCAGTGTCCGCATTTGAGATCTAGTATGACCACACACCCTGTCATGACGGTGTGCACTGTTACTCAAAAGCGATCAGGACGAAAATGCTACACACCAAAATTCGCACTTTGAAGGTTGGTGAGTGGTGGTGACAAACAACAGTTTTTCATCGGACCAGTCGTGATCGTCGGACGGCTTTGACGAAACATTGACGATTTTACTTTGTCGTCGCATGACTGTGGACTGGCCACGTGTACATACGGTGTTGTGGCCTCGACTGGGTGCCGAATACAGTTTCAAAACTTGCAATTTTGGAACCTGCTTTTCGATCCTCAAATGTTGGCGAGTCCGCACCCGATGTATGTTTATTCGATACGGACTTTTGCATTTTTTCAAAATGTCACACGCCCTTAGCCCTGCATCCACCACACAGAGCCACACCACACACACGCGGGTGTTTATGTAGATATCCCTGGTTGTTTCCCAGAGTTTATGTAGAAATCGCTGTTCCGCTGTCGTCGGTAGGACGAGCTAGTCCGTGCTAGTCCGTGCGGCCCCGCGTTCAGGCAACAGCGCGAGGAGTGGAATTTCTGCTGCTTCCGTCCGGCTCGGACGACTAGGCCGGTTCGAGTCGTTGGTTCGTGTAATTTCTGTCATTTGTTTTGGTGTCGTCAGTAGGACGTGTTGACTTTTGAGTCGACTCAAAAGTTGGTTCGTATAATTTCTGTCGGCTGTGTGGTGTCGTCAGTAGGAGGTGGTAATCCCTGCTACGAGAATGGGTGGAGTGGAGTCCGTGCTGGTTCCGTCCGACTCGGACGACGATGACGAGCGGCAAGAGCGACGGGAAGCGCGGCGAAGGGAAAAGTACTTCCGCGAAATGCAGAGGCGACAGCAGCTGCTGCTGCAGCAACAGCAGCAGCAGGCGGCGCAATTTCACCAGCAGCAGTACGACCAGCAGCAGTACTATCAACAGCCGAGACAGTTGCACCAGCATTACCAGCAGCAGGAGCAGCTGCAACAACCCTACCAGCAGCAGTATGGGGAAGAATCGTATTTAAGACCCGGAATGGAAGGGTACGCGCCGGGTGTAGAAGGCATCCCGGCAGAATTAAGAGAGCATTTTGATGGCCAATGGGATCCTCGCGAAATCGGGGCTGAATATAACGAGTACACCCTCGAACAAACAGCAGGGGGCTCGTTTTCGCCAGCAACTGATGGAGCAATTCCGGACGCGATAGAAGCTGCTCCGTTTGTTGCTGGACAGGCTACACCTCAACCTGAAATGTTTGGAGAATACGGAGCAGGGGTTCCGGCTTGGTCTGGCATCGTTGACAGATGGGACCCAACCGGGGCTGATGCAGGCGCGGCTCGGGCTGAGCAGGTTCGGGCCGAACCTGCTCGTCCAGGTTCGGACGGAGGTCAGGAGGAGCTACCCGTGTCTATGGGTCCCGGCTCCTCCAGCCCTACTATTGGTGCAGCTAACAGGCAGAGCAATGTGATTACGGTAGCATCCACGTCAGCAGCGGGCCAAGGGAGGGGGGGCACACTGCATGTCAGCGTGGGAGGAGCAGACGGGTCCACGTGGCCATCAGCGAGTGTGGGTTTTGCCACGTCAGTAGGCCACGTGGCGGGGGTTGGGGAGAGGACGGGGGTGGAGATGGGGAGATGGGAGGGAGGAGGGAAAGGGATAGAAGGGGAAGGGGAAGGATGGGGGGGAGGGGGGAATGCGGGGGTTGTGGGAGGTATGGGGGGTATGGGGGGAGTGGGAGGAGTGGAGTACGGTCCTGCTGCTATCCTATCCCCGTCTACCATAGCTGCTGTAGCTGCTGCTAATGCCATGGCCAACGCTCCCCCCTGCTCGCCTGAAAGGGCAGGGGGAGAGGGGGAGAAGGGACGACTGGAAAAGGCAGAAGGGAGAGGGACGGGAGGAGCAGGGGGATGGGAAGGAGGAGGAGGAGGAGGAGGAGGAGGAGGAGGAGGAGGAGGAGGAGGAGGAGGAGGAGGAGGAGGAGGAGGAGGAGGAGGAGGAGGAGGAGGAGGAGGAGGAGGAGGAGGAGGAGGGAAGGAAGGGGAGGGAGAGGGAGAGAGGGTAAGAGAGGAGAGGAAGGATGAAGCGGAGAAAGGATGGGTGAATAGAGTGGTCAAGGCATCTGGTAGCAGTAATAGCAGCGGCAGCAGCAGCAGCAGTAGCGGCACTGGTGGTGGTAGAACTGGTATCAGAAGACCGGGAGGAAATAAGGAAAAGAGGAGTTATCAAGCGTTTGATAGTTCTGCTGGGGATAATGGTAGAGAGGAGGTTAAGGGGAGTGTTACAAAGGCGGATAGTGATGATGATGACGATGAGGAGAGTCGAAGTTCAAGGGAGCTAGACGAATCAGATACAACCGAGGAGGAATGTGAGGGAGGGAAGAGGAAGAGGAGAATGGAGTGACTGGATCTGAGGACTCTGACGGGGCGAGCTTGGGAAAATCGCATGAAAAAACTGAGACGGATAGCAGAGATGCTTGTAAAGGGGACAGGATGGAAGGAGAAGAAGAGGAAGACAGGGACGAAGAGAAGGGGCAGGAGGGCAAGAGCGAGCAGGAGGAGGAGGTAGAGTGTCTGGTGGGGGGGGAGTGGAGCAGCAGTTGGGGGGCGAGGTGGAGGTAGGAGAGGAAACACACAAAAAGAGCGGGAGCGAGGAACGAAGGATCACTGACACGAATTCTGTCGCTGCTAGTGGTGCTGGTGATGTGGGCAGAGGTGCTGCAAGTGGTGCTGACGACACTGGTTATGGTGGCTGTGGTGGAAGAGGAGGGGTTGATGTGGGTAGCAGAGAGAGTGTGAGGGAGGAGAGGGAGGAGGGTGATGGAGTGTTTGGAGGAGATAGAAAAACGGATGAAAACGAGGGGCCAAGTGGGAGGGAGAAGGACGAGGAGGATAACGAGAAGGGGAAGGAGAAGGATGAGGAAAGTGGAATAGGCGAGCTAGACGAGGCGGAGCAAGAGGAGGAGGAGGAGTATGGTTCAGGAGACTCGGGATTTGGTACCCCTGGCACTCTTTCCCCTACAGGCAGCAGTGTCAGCGCCTACGAACTCCCAGGCACGGATTTCCCCGAGTCTGACAGCTTCGGCAGCCAAGCCTCCACTTCAGCTTCGGCACCCGGAGCTAGAGCCTGGTCAGGAGCACCTGGGAGGCCAGGAAGTTTTGGCCGAGGCAGGAGCACAGGTACGGGGATCCTTGCTGGTGTTACCATGGCTCCTGGCCCGAGATTAAGTTCGGGAGGAAGGCCTGCAGCCTGGGCTGGAGGTTTAGGTTCGGGTGCCCCTTTGACTCGGCCGTTCCAGCCTGCCTCTGGTTTGGCCACCGAGCCTGTTGCAGCTGGTGGCCCGACTCCTGCTGCTGCTGCTGCTTCTGCTTCTGCCACACCTGGCGTTCGTACTGGTCCGGCTGGTGGTAGTGCTGCTGGTGCTGGTGCTGGTTTGGGTGCTGGTGAGTCAAACGAGGGGAGCAGTGGTCTAGGGTTAGGGTTTAGTCTTCTGGCAGGTCTAGGCGCGTCTCTCTCCACAGTCGCACGCGAAGCCACTTCTGCTGCAGCCACAGCTGCTGCAGCAGCAGCAGCAGCTGCTGCATCTAAGGGCGCTCCAGGCGATGACAACACATACGCTGTGCTGGAGGTGAGTGACGAGGATTCGGATGAGGAAGACGAGGAGGAGGAGGGCGGGGAGGGTGGGGATGATGGGAGGGAAGAGGAGGAGAGGAGGAGGAGGGAGCAGGAGTTGAGGGAGCAGCGCGCGGCGCAGGTGTCAGCGATTATGGCGAAGATGGCACGGGAAAACAGCGTGGGAAGCAGTGGAAGTGGGCAAGCAGGCGTCGGAGGGGCGGGGATGGACGGCAGTGCCTATGGCACAATCCCCAGAAACAATTCCTTCTCCGGTGCTGCTGGTGCTGCTGCTGCTGCTGCTGTCAACAGTCCTCGTCACTCCCTCCCCCCTGCCAGCCCTGCCCAGTACCGTCCTGCTGCTGCCAGTGCTGCTCTGACGTCCTTCCATCGAAGGGGCGGAGGAGGATCGTTCGGCAGCGGTGGCAGCGGCGGTGGTGGTAGTGGTAATTTTGGTAGTGGTAATTGGGCTAGTGGTGCGGCTGGTGGTGTTGCTGGGGGTATTGGTCTCGGTGGTGGGGGCGGTAGTGGTAATTTCGGTGGTGCTGGCTGGGCGAGTAGTGGGACTAGTGGTAATTGGGCTAGTGGTGGGGCCAGTGGTGCTGGTGGGGGAATTGGTGGTGGTGGTTGGGCAAGTGGCACCAGTGGTGGCGGTAGCAGAGGTGGCTCTCTCGCAACTTCCCCTAGAGGAGTGGGGCTAATTGCCCCAGTCGTTAAGGCAGGCGCAGGGATAGGAACAGGGTCGGGGGTGGGAGCAGGGGTAGGGGCCGGGGTAGGAGTTGGAGGGGGAGGAGGAGGAGCGATGGCATGGGCGGGTACGGGCCCAGTGCAGCCGTACCCGTGGTGGGTCGTGGCTTCTCCGGACGCTCACTACCATGCTGAGGAAGTGTGCATCGAATTCTATGTCATCCGGTGAGTAGAGGTTACCATGGGACCAGTGCAGCAGCACCTTATTTATATATCCTTATTTATATATATAGAGAGAGAGGGTGCTCCAGATGTTTAGCACCATGCCGAGGAAATATGTATCGACGACGAAATGCCATGGGACCAGGTCTATGTCATTCGGTGAGTAGGAGGGAGGGATGGTATGGGTTGTTGTGAGGGAAGGGATGGTTGACATGAGGCCAGGGCAGCAGCACCCATGGTGTGTCGTGGCCGCTCCAGATGCTCGGCTTGGTACCATGTCGATTTTTGAGTCCACTAAAAAATCTCCAGAGGCTCAGCTTGGTACCATGCCGACGAAATAAGCATCGAGTTCTATGTCATTTGGTGGGGAAAGCAGCATGGGATGGGAAGGATTGCATGGGTTGGTTGGTTTCGGGGCAGAGCAACAACACCGTAGAGAGTCCTCCATATGCTCTCCACATGCTCTTCGCATGCTCTCCACTACAAGTCTGCATCAATTTCTATGCTATCCGGTGCATTGAGTTGGGGAGGATGTCATGGGTTGGCATGGGTTGGCATGGGTTCTCCATTTTATCCTGCCCTCTCTCCCATTCCCTCCATCCCTCCCCTTCGTCCTTTCTCCAGCCATGCCGAGTCGCTAGACCTCCCGCATCTAGTAGGAGCAGAGGCCAGTCACCTGCCAGACTGCTGGCTAATTATGGCAGGGAGCAGGGGGAGGCGTTGGCACGTGTTTCCTAGCTGAATGTTTCTGCACGCCAATCCCTCCCTTCGCTCTAGCTCCTCTAACCCCCCGATTCCCTCCCACCTACCAAATGGTTCTCCATTTTATCCTTCTCCTCTCCCATCCCGTCTATCCCCCCTCTGCCTCTCCCATTCCGTGCAGGCCCCCCATCATGTCCCCACCCCACTGCCTTAGGTGACTTTTGAGTCGACTCAAAAGTCACCTACCGTCTATCCCCCCTCTGCCTCTCCCATCCCGTCTATCCCCCCTCTGCCTCTCACATTCCGTGCAGGCCCCCCATCATGTCCCACCCCACCCCACTGCCTTCCCAGCCATGCAGAATCCTTGGATCTCCCCCACTTGGTGGGAGGCCAGTCAGTCGCCATACCGCTGTCGAAAAAGGGCAGGGAGCAGGGGAGGCGCTGAGTTTGCAGGGTATTTTTGAGAATTCTAAAAAATACCCTGCAAACTCAGGGGGAGGCGCTGAGGTACTGTTGGAAGTGAATGTTGCCCATCCCGCTCCTCTATCCCCCCGTCTCTTCATCCATGCCAAGTCACTGGATCTTCCCCATCTGCTAGGAGGCCACTCACCCGCCATCCCGCTGACCATTAAGGGCAGGGAGCAGGGGATGCGCTGGTTCGATACCTGTTGGAGTTCCAAGGGTGGCGTTCGTCAAGGCCCCACACCGCTGACCAGCAGGGCAGGGAGCAAGCAGGCTTAACCCCCCCCCCCCCCCCCCCCTCCAAATCCCATGTTCCCCTCCCCCCTCCCGCCCTTTCTGTTCTTCTCCAGCCACGCAGAATCATTAGACCTCCCGCATCTAGTAGGGGGCCAGTCTCCCGCCATACCACTGACGAATAAGGGCAGGGAGCAGGGGGAGGCGTTGGGGCGATACCTGTTGGAGTTCCAAGGGGTGGCGTTTGACGAGGCCTTTGCCTCGCCCATCCCCAGAGCGTGGGAGACAGCACACGTCACATGCCAGGTGCGTCAGGTTACCAGTGGCTGCTGCTTGTGGTGTTACATAGGGTTGCCAGCAGGGGTAGGAAGTAGGGAGCAGGGGGAAGCGTTGGGGCGATACCTGTTGGAGTTCCAAGGGGTGGCGTTCGATGAGGCCTTTGCCTCGCCCATCCCCAGAGCGTGGGAGACAGCACACGTCATATGCCAGGTGCGTCGGGTTACCATCTAGTGTTACCCAGGGTTACCAGCAGGAGCAGGGAGCAGGGGGAGGCGTTAGGGGGAATACCATCCATCAGTGCCTCCACTCCACCCCCTCCCCTCTCTCCAGGTGCTTGGCTTCCTGCCAAGCCAGATGCAGGAGGCAGAGGAGCTGTGACAGATTCTGGAGCCCCTCCTTCCCAGGTGCTTCCCGCCAAGCCATATGCAGGAGGAGGCAGAGGAGCTGAAGGAGCAGAGCTGCGGGCAGTGGGAGGGGAAATGGGGCACAATTGAGCCAGCTTTGTAACTTCACACTGACTTGGCTCCCTCCCTCCCTCCCCTCCCTCCCTCCTCTCCCTCCCCTCCCTCCCTCCTTCCCAAGTACTTCCTGCCAAGCCAAATGCAGGAGGCAGAGGAGTTGAAGGAGCAGAGCTGCGGGCAGTGGGAGGCAGGCAACTGTGAGCTGTCTAAGTAATTACACGGTAGTTCCTCCCTCCCTCCATCCCTCCCTCCCAGGTGCTTGGCTTCCCGCCAAGCCAAATGCAGGAGGCAGAGGAGTTGAAGGAGCAGAGCTTGCGGGCAGTGGGAGGAAAAGAGGGGCGCGATTGAGCCAACTTAGAAAATTCACATTGGACTCCGCTCCCTCCATCCCTCCCTCCCTTCCTCACTCCCTCGCCTCCCGCCCAGGTGCTTGGCTTCCCGCCAAGCCAAATGCAGGAGGCAGAAGAATTGAAGGAGCAGAGCTGCGGGCAGTGGGAGGGGAAGAGTCGGGCAGATGTGTTCCCCAGGGAAGCATCTCTCCCGCGAATCACGAGCGCGCAGCCAGATTTTTTCTGCCCGGGGGAGAGTCGCAGCGGCAGGTGAGATACAGCATAGATCTCTAGCTTTGAGGTGCGGCATTTGTGGCGTGAGCTACGGTTCCTGAAGCTTGGCTCGTGCCGTGTGTAGGTTGAGTTGCCCCCCACCTTTTTTTTTCAGAGTCTCAAACATACGTACAATACAGCACGCAAGGGTATAACCTTCTTGAGATGTCCAAATAACATCTACATCAATAATTATATCCTTAACTTTTTATATATACATATACATTTTTTTTTGGGGGGGTTTGACCCTATATCCTTTCCCCCGAAACCCTTAGCCCACCCAGGTTGAATTCCGAAAGGTCGAGTTTTTCAACCACCTAGCAGTCACCCTTTGGTAGGTGCAGTCCGAATGGTGGAGAATTCTAAATGATCCGATGACTTCCTCTCTGCCCCTCTCCCACCCAGGTTGAATTCCGAATGGTCGAGTTTTTCAACCATCTCGCAGTCACCCGCTCCTCCACGCTCCTAGCTAAACGCCATCCATGCCGCCCAACGCCCCTCCCCTCCCACCGTACCGCATCGGCATCTTCTCCCACTCCACGGCAATCAAGTGCCTCTTGAAAGGCCTCACCGGCTCTAGCCCACACTTCACTCACAGATTTGACATAGCAGTTTCGTCCCTAACTGTCCTGACCTACTCTCCTGGAGCCAATGCCCGAATGCCACGTGGCACAGGCAGCAATGGGGGCACCGGTGCTTTTGGTGCCACCACTGGTACAAGCAGTGGTGCTGCTGGTGCTGCTTTTGCTGCTTCTGATGGTGGGGGTGGTGTTGGTGGGTGGAGGGTGGGGAGAGTGAATGACACGACTCACCTGCTGCTGGCACGGGGGCCTCTCCCCAGGCACATATAGCTGCTCTCAGAGCACGCTTTCCTGGAAACGAGGGGTCAGAGTCCACTGTAGCTGTTGCGTACGAAGGGTGATGAGAGGAGGGTGAAGGGAGTGTGTTGGCGGATGTGCTGCTTCTGCTACCTGTGGTGGTGGGGGTGCTGCTACTGGTGGTGGTGGTGGTGCTGCAGCTGCTGCTGCTTTTGGTGGGGGTGGTGGTGGGTGGAGAGTGGGGAGAGTGAACGACACGACTCACCTGCTGCTGGCATGGGGGCCTCTCTCCCAGGCACACATAGCTGCTCTCAGAGCACGCTTTCCTGGACACGAGGGGGCAGAAACCACTGTAGCTGTTGCGGATGAAGGGTGATGAGTGGAGTGTGGAAGGAGTGTGTTGGCAGATGGTGGGGCTGCTGCTATTAGTGGTGCTGCTGCTGCTGGTGCTGCATTTCCTGGAAACTAGGGATCAGAAACCACTGTAGCCGTTGTTGAAAGGAAGTGGTCCTTGCAGCTAGATTGAGTGTGTTTCTGGGAAAGGAAGGGTGGAAAGGGATGGGAATACAGAGTTGGAGAGGGGAGGGGGGGGGGGGGAGGGATGGGAATACAGAGTTGGGAGGAGGGTGGGAAGGGATGGGAATACAGAGTTGGAGGCGGGGGGGAAGGCCGATCGGATGTTGTGGTCATCACAGCTGTAATGTGAATTTGATTCTGATATGTTGTGCGTTTTATATCTAACAGTGTACAGCTTATCTGGTATGTTGACTGGTCTTCTTTCCAGAACACTTCTGGACTGGAGCACTCAAATGGTCGGAGGGGGCCCCGCCTTGTCGTATCCGTACAATGATGAGTCGCGGAGCGTGGTCGCTTTGATAAACCCCTAGGCTAGCGCCGCGCGAAGCGGTGGCCCTAGCGAACTCGGCGAAGCAAACTTGAGTTACTCCGCCACATTGACCAGCCCCCAAGCCTCGCACGAGCAGCGACAACCATTTCGCCTAAACCCAACGAAACAAATTCACGCTTTACGGTGGTCGCGAATCTACTGACAATGTTCTCGCAATTTCAACGAATTCGGCAACCTCTTTTCGAAGCGCATCCAGCACCAGCACCATATAAATGTCCCCCGAACTTCTTCAATCTTCATCTCACTCTTATTCACCCCCACTCCAAAATTCCTGCAAACCACAGATCCAACGACACAACTTCCACTCAGCTTACAAAGCTAGCAGCTGTTGTTTCAGTCGCAACTTGGACGACCGTCATCAGCATGGCACCAAAGAGCCTACTCGTTGCGTCCGTGCTCGCGTTACTCGTCCTCTCATGTGAGTAATTCCTTCACTGGCCTGCCTGGTGACCCCCAGCGTCAATTCGTTTGCTTCGATTACGTTATCAAATCGTGCGGCACGATTTGTTCCGAACGTTCCCACAGATCTCTCCCCAATCAGCTAATTGTTTCGGATTCTATTTCTCTTCCTCTTTCTAATTCTTTCGCCCAGGTGCGGCTCACCGCGGAGGTCCCTTCGGAGGCGGCGGGTTCGGGCGTGACGAGTGGCGCGGTCTCCTGAATGGCACCCTCGGCACGCCAGTTGGTAAGCGTCTGATGAATGGCACACTGTGCGACCACTCCTCGCAGGAGCGTTTTGGGCACACTGTGCAACCACTCCTCGCAGGAGCGTTTTGGGCACACTGTGCAACCACTCCTCGCAGGAGCTTTTTGGGCAGTGGAACCAAACACTAATTCTGGATCGTACTCATTCTGCGCAGTGAGTCCATTCTGACTCAAGCACTGGTTTGAGAATAAAAAATCGCGATTTTTTTGTGGTATAAAAAACCGTCTCGTATCCTCGGCGTTCTAAAGCCGAGTGGAAAAACCGTCCACCCCTCACCCAATAATCATTATGTCTCCTGTTTTACGTAATAACTCTTTGCAGGGTCGATCAAGGCAAACATGATCGGCTCTCAGGTGCTCGACGGTCTCACCTGAGTGCTGAATTCGCATCAAAACCGTTCCGTACTCCACATTCGTTTGCCCCTCCGCAGGCTCGCTCAAGGCCTTCATGAACGGCTCTCAGGTGCTCGACGCCAGCGGCGCCGCCGTCGGCGACGCGAACGCGACGGGGATAATCGGGCTCGTGGTGCTTAAAACGGACACGGACTACAACATCCTCTACCAGGCCGGCGTACGCGTTACAGACGCGGGCCTCCCCACCTCCATCGCCATCAACAGCGACGCGGCCGGCGCCGGCGGCTCCCCCGTCATAGAGTTCTCCGCTACCGAAGCCGCGTGGCAGAATTACACGTGGAACGGGACCCGATTCGGGCGGTTCGGGCAGGGAAACCAGGGCGCGGCGCTGAAGGCTGTGGTGAAGGTTCTCTCGCAGTGGTTCCCCAATCTGAACTCCACCGGTGCTGGGTCCTTTTTCGGCGGGCGCGGGGGCCCCAGGGGCCCGCCTTCCGGATTCGCTTATGGCTTCTCCGGTGTTTGGTACAACGCGAGCACGATCACGAACAGCGGGGGGAGGAGCTACGCGGATGTCGTCGCGGTCGACATGCTTGCAGCGCCGGAGAGCTTCTATGGCGTCGTGAAAACCGACGCGTTTGCTGATGGGGTTGTCGGGGGGGCGTTCGCGAACCACACCATGCACGGGGGGCGTGGAGGGCGCGGGGGACGCGGGGGGGCCAGGTTTGGCGGCTGGCTCGGCGGGCGCCGCAACTAAATACGTGGGAAGCGGTACAGTGCGGTGTGGTGCAGCGTGGTATGGCGTGGTGCGGTGACGCCACACCTTACAACAGAGAACGGGAGGGGTGGGTGGTGATTCCAGAGGCAGCACGCATGGCATGGAGGTCAAGTCTGGCGCTTGCTGCTCCTCAAAGCTCGGCACTTAACTTCGGCACATACCAATATGGTGGCATTCTGCATTCTGCAGCTCCAGATTTGGACTCCATGGCGTTGCATATCTGCCTCTGGTATCCGTCACCTTTTCTTACTATCGCTTTCAGTCATCCTTTTACACTTTTGCTGTGCCTTACCCTGTAATCACTTCTTGTGAATGCATGTAGTGGATTATTTCCGGAAAAAATGCCATGCGTGCTGGAAAGCCAATGTGCTGCGGCAGCCTGTAACTTGGCTTGCTGAGATGAGAAGGCATGATGACTGTTGGGGACAGCTTTACTCAAATGGTGCATACACAGTGACACTCTCCAGCTCAAAACTCTGTCTCTAGACTCCTACCGGTAGCTCCGTGGCATTGCAATTCTGCCTCCACCCGAGTATAGGTATCATAATACTCCAATCCAATCCCTCGCCTAGTTGCGCTGCCAGTATGCGTCGGGGGTCGGGCGGGTGAAATTTGCAAACTGCCCGCGAGCAGCTCCATCTGCAAACGTCTCAGTCTTCACAATCCCATAGTACCCACTCGGATTCGCCAGGAGCAGATTCGCCACGTCGAAATAACTCTGCCCAGCCGCGTTACTGTACTGCGTCGCATTGTACCACACCCCAGAGAACCCGTACACATAACCCGTGCGAACCGACGGGCGGAAGAAACCAAAGTACTTGGGAACGGGAGCAGTGCGCTTGCGGCCGCGGGCATCCCTGCGGGTGCCGTTCCACGTCATGTTGGTCCAGGCGGCTTCGGTTGCGGAGAACTCAAGAATGGCCGCAGCACCATCGGCAGCACCGGCGGCGCCTGTGCTGATGGCGATGGAGAGAGGTGCGCCTGGGGCGGTGAGGCGGATGCTGGCTCCGTAGCGGATGTTGTAGTCGCTGCCGCTCCTGAGTGGGCAAGGGAATGAGAGGGAAGATAAGAGCAGAGTTTGCAGGGTTGATACAGGAGAGGAATGGAAGGGAGCGAGAGGTGGTGAGATGAGGGTGAGCAATCATGGGGTATTCATGGGGCATTCATGGGGCATGGCCATTCATGGGGCGTGGATTCTCAGCATGCAAGTGGATATGCAGTTTGGCGATGCGAAGAGAAGCTTACTGGAAGACAGCGAGGGAGATGACCCCCGTGGCATTCACATCTCCAGCCACAGTCGTCTCCGTGCCGTTCAGCCTCGCATACAGGGCTCCTGGGGATATGGGAGAGGAGGGGGAGAGGGGGGGTGTAGCGGAGGGAGGCACGGGTTGGTGACAGTAGAGAATATGCCGCCAGCATTCGCCTCCAGTGATGGCCGTTCAGCTCCGAAAATGGCGGTTGAGGTGAAAGGGAGATGAGTTATCAGGGGGAAGCGGGTGAAGGGGAAGCGTGTGAAGGGGAAGGGGGTTGGGGGATGAGTGGAGTGGGAGAGGGTGCAAGGGAAAGCCAGGAGGAGGTGGAGAGGAAATACTAGAGTGGCCAGTAGGTACAGCCTCAGGTTAGCTCCAACCTACACTCACCCACGCGAGTGCCCAGACCCCTACTGCCCTTGCGCCGACCGCCGCCAAAGAAGCCTCCGCCAAACTCGCCGCCTCCACCACCGTGTCCGCCTCCGCCCCCGCCTCCGCCGCGCCCTCCGCCGCCCTCGCGCCCACCGCCGCCGCCGCGAGCGGCGCCTGTTGCGATATTCGGGGACGAGGGGGGATGATGTTAAGAACTGATTAGGAATCGGTTCTGGATGCTGCAGACCAAGAATGCAGTGCGTAGAGAAGATATACTTATAGCGGATAACGAGGAGGTGCTTACAGGAGACGACGAGGAGAGCGAGCAGCGACGCGGCGAGAATGTGGCGAAGAGCCGTCGTTGTCATTGTTGGATGATGCGAGGCAAGATGCGACGATGTGCGACGATGTGCGATGATCGAGCCTAGAATAAAGACGATTGTTCAATAAGAGACGTTCTGAAAAACCGCTGCTTGGGATGATGGAGACTGATGCGATGCTTTTATAGAGGTAAGAGAGTGCTGCTCTAGTCGACATGATGGTACGTTATGGGGTGGGTGGGGCGAACGGGCAGCATGAGGGGAAGCCACACAGCAAGACTGGTCAGCGGCAATATCGGCGGTGCGACGAAGGCACGCCGTGGCTTCCGTGAGAGGTATTATTCTAGCCATCTGAGCGGTGGGTACTTCTGCTACAACAGAGCACCTTTCACCCGCAGCGCACCAACGTGCGGGAACAAAAGAAACAGTCGCGATAGAAAATGTCGTCGTCCAGTGACGGGTGAGACTGGGGAGGGACAAGCGCCGACAGGATGGCTCATCTCGGAGATGAGCCGCGGAGGAGAAGATGCTCTCTCGCTCACTGCTCACTGCTGCTCAACTCAATGCCCACCCCGTGGCGCGATTTCCGCGATCAACGGCGAGAGATTCTGGAGCAGAGCTAACCGAGCTGAGATGAACTGGGGAGGGGATGGTCGGTGAAAGGCTCGCAGGCACAATGAGACTGTGCGACTGCACGACTGTGCGACGGGTGCGACCGACAAAAAGCAGATTGGTGCGACCATTCCTCCTGGCGACACTTGGTAGGACCCTGCTGCGAAACCAAACTCGCCCCGGGAAGTGCTGGATGTGGGACAGGGCGAACTAGTGGCGAAATGACGCGACGCGATGCGAATCACGAAAAGTCCCCAGCTCTACTTCCCGCGTCCCTGAGAATTTCGCCCCCGTCCAGGTGCTGCTGTGTCCCCCGGTTTCACCATGTGCACGATTTTTTTTGTGCGACTGCGTGTTTCTCTGCCTCCCACCTTCCCCCATCCCCCACAGCAACCCAGTCGCCGGAGATCGCACGAGGTTGACCAGTCGTCGTAGCATCGCTTTTCTACCCCACACCCAGGCGATGAGGGGGAAATGCAACCTCTAGTCGCCAGCTTTATCACGAAACTCGCAAATGATCTCTGCTACAAAAATTTCCCCCTACCTTTCGAAGTTACCATTTTGGGAGCTCCATCACATTAGGTCCTCCTCGTTATAATTTACAGCGCACGAAACTCCCCCAACCCCTATCGCCATCTTCGTTACAGGAAACACAATGCACGACATTGTCGTGTTACGTGAATTTCTTTTTTCATGACACCAAGTACAACAAAACGTTAAGTACATTTACAAATGAACCATACAAACGTTAAAAAAAATCTTATCAGATCAACGTGCCGAGAGTCAGAATCCTACAGGGACAACAGCTCGACATGAACTCTCCACCTGGCCAACATCCATGTCCTCCCCCACATCATGCCTACCAAAACCAGCCTCTCTGCCTCTCCCCGACAAAGCTGGCTTGATCACCAGGTTGCTCCGACAGCTTGTTGCAGAAACCATGGCGCCACTACCACCATCCACCCCTTCCCTCCATGCCATAGCGCCAGCCCCAACAATGCCATGGATTCCTAGGGAAAAATCCACCCAGCCTGGAGGCAGGTACGGTGAAAACACCACCACAAGCTTCCGCTCCACAGTGCTCCCCCAAGCTGCTGCAGCTGCACCAGCTGCTTGTGCCAGCTCCCACTGGCTAGAACCCTCCTGAGCCTGCTGTCCGAGCCTGGGTGTCTGGTACGGTGAGTAGGACAGGAATGTGGCGGGAGTTCGTCTCGAGAGGAGGAGGCGCGTGTTGACGCAGTGAGACCAGGCGAGGCCCAAGGCTGGTATGACGTGTTGGCCTGATGACCAGAGGATCTGTGAGTTGCCTGAATCAGAGAGAAGATCAGGGTGTGGCCCGGAATATGCCATGGCTACTGTGCCTGATGCATCTGGTTCTGACTCACCGTCTTCGGCTGCTGCTGCTGCTGCTGGTGTGGCACTGGAATGTGAAGGTTCAACGGATGCGGTAACCTGATTTGTAACCACAACTGCGATTTTGTACCGGTCTGCCAGTTGCTTGAGAGCAGATGCGATGCGGAACAGCATGGCGGTGCGCTGACACATGTCGTCCCGTGAGTGGTCGAATTCCGAGCGAAACAACGAGGCTATAGAGTCGATAATGAGGAGGCGGATGGGGAGGATTCTGGACCTAGAGAGCTCCAAATGTAGCTCCCCTTCCAAGCAGTGGGCGAGCTCTTGGACGGTCGAGATCTCCTTGATAAACACATGATCGCACGGATGGCTAGGATCGTCCCCCCAGCTGCCTTCAATCGACGGTTTACAGTCAGCACCAGGTGCACCAGTAGTACCGTTGCTGACACTGCTTCTCCGCATGCCATTGCTGCTGAGAGGAACAGGACCAGGATCAGGGGATTTTGATCCTAGCAGGTCTTTGAACTGGCTGCTGTTGGCGAGCTGGAAGAGGCGTTTCGTGGGGAAACGACCGTCAGTGTATATGTACAACGCCGAGCCACGAGATGTGTCTGCAGCCTGTCTTGACGTGTCTGCAGCACCAGAGAATGAGAGCAGTTGTCGTTGGGGTGCTTGCACTGGTCCTGGCAGTGGTGCTGGAAGGGTTGCCTGAACTGTCAGCGCCAGCTGCAAGCACAGCTGGGTCTTGCCGGTTGCTGCCTCTCCCACTATTTCAGTCACATGGCAGGCTCGCAGGCCGCCTTTGAGAAAACGGTCCAGAACCGGACACCCGAGCGAAACATAGCTGGTAACCACTGAATGCAGCGAAATCGGACGAAAAGGATGGTCGTCGGTTAGGGATGATTCGTTTGGCGGGAACTCGGGCGGTTCTAAAAGGGACGGTCGAGCGGGAGGAATGGCCTTGAGAGCTGGTGTGGGTGAAAGGGTGCTTGATCCAGATGGGGATGCGGATGGTGTTGTTTGGGTTGCAGATGCGGATGTTGTTGTTTGGGAAGCAGAGTAACGAAGGTCGTGGCGTCATGGCAAAAAGGGGGTTGAGCGGAGATGCTGTGTGATTGCGAGGGAATTCGATCCGGATGGGAATGCGGATGTTGCTGCGGAGACGCGGGTTCATGTTTGGGTTGCAGAGGGACGATCGTGGCGACATCATGGCAAGGAGGAGGGGGTTGAGCGGAGAGCTTGTGGGGTTGAACGCCAGGTGACTGGTTCAGATGCGGATGTCGTTGCGGAGACGCAACCACTTTTTGTTTGGCTGGCAAAGAGACGATGGTCGCAGCGTCATGGCAATAAGGGGGTTGAGCGGAGATGATGTGCGGTTGAGAGGGAATTCGATCCGGATACGGATTTTGCTGTGGCGAAGCGGGTTCTTGTTTAGGTTGCAGAGGGACGATCGTAGCAGCTTCATGGCAAGAGAGCGGTTGAGAGCAGGCCTTGTGCACTCGAGAGGGGTTGAGAGAAACGATTTTCTGGGATGGTGGAGCATCATGGGTAAGGAGGGGAACCTGGTAAAGAGCCATGACGCATAGGTACCAGTAGCTGAGGCAGACTAAGCAGCCATAACCGCTCGTTGGATCAAATCACCCCGCGGCACTCAAGAAAGTTTCATACCGTGTGACACGGCAACAGGTATGAACCGAGGATTCGCGTGCTCGGCTCTCGGCTCTCTACCAGTTTATCAGCTATCAGCTCCCAACCAAGTCCCAAGGTTCTGAAGCAGGGCTTATGCTAGGCCCTAGGGAGTTTCGGAGAGTTCCGAGATGGGGTCCAGAAGTACCCAGAATTTTCCGGATCCCAAGGAAAATTCACCAGGATCCTTCCGAGTACTCGACATAGCAACCCTGACAAAGGTCGTGTCAGTCATCTCCCCTGATGTGTTGAGAGGCCGATTGGCTAAGTCCTGAAATCGTCCAAGTACCCTTTGGTGATTCGTGACATGAGAATCTTCGCCACCACGCAGTGGAATGGAAGTTCTCCTCACAGAGCTCCATGCTATGAGGCTAGTTCGCCAGGATTCATGAAAATAGTACACGAAATGGATCAGGATTTGAAGGAAAATTCAGTTGGAAACATTCAGAGTTTCGGCGAATCTCAACCTGTTAGAACCCGGGTTCGGGCTTGAACAACTCTTAGGGTAGCTACCCTTCTAGCGTAAGCCCTGTTCTGAAGGCGAGAAAACTGCCAGGTCTCGATCAATTCCCAAGGCGAACAGTTCTCGATGACAACTTCCGTTCAGAATTCCAAGCTTCATCACGTCCTCGTTTTGGGAAGAACGTGAAAATACGTTGTATTGAAGCTGCATTCAGCTGGGAACTAAATGCCGTTGGCTTTCCCAATTCCAATCACCTTCTTCATTTCACATAACAAGCGCCAACAACTCTAGTCAGCACTAGGTAACCACCACATAGACATTCCCCATGGAACTCTCCCACTAAAGGGAAACCGCATACCCAATTGCCAGACTCTCCACAACCTATGTGCTGCCATCAACCCAGGGAGGCAATCCACCTTACAAGCAGAACCCTAAACCGATATGCAGCCCAACTATCCACATCTAAGCTGCCATCAACCCCCGGAGGCTATCAAGAAAGGCCAACACGGCACTATCGCCCACGGAAGCACAGCCCTCCTCCAGCTGCTGGGCATCCACCTTGCAGGCTGCCTCGTTCTTGCGGCACCACTTGGACTGCCTCAGCTCCTCCGCTGCCTCCCTCCACTGGAAGGACGAGGCCTTCTGAATGGTCTGGTCAAACTGTGCTCCCAGACGAGTCTTGGCTGAAGGTAGCAAAGGGAAAAGACACAAGAGTCAAAACACAGTTGTTGAACTGCCTCAGCTCCTCTGCTGCTTCTCTCCACTGGAAAGAGAATGCCTTGCCAAAATTTGGATCAAGCTGTACTCCCAAACAGGTCTTGGCTGGAAAACAGGACATAGAAAGGAAAGGACAGATACAACATGGATCACTGCTCGGACTGCCTCAAGTCGTTTACTCCCTCCCTCCCTCCTCTCTATCCGCAGAGATGGAAGTTATTGGACAACCTTGTCTTAGACAAGGCTTGCACAGAAACCCCTGGCCCACCATGAGTGAAGGCCACATCAGCGAAGACAGCCTGAACGTTGCAGCAGAAATTGTCAAGGGTCTTCACACTCTCCCCTGCCCTCAACAGATAGCGGCGAGCATCCAAGGCCAGGAGCGTGTTGATCTGCAAGTCGTTCAGACAGGCCTCCCCCCGGTACAGCTGCATGCAGGTGAAGCAGGAAATGCAATAGGTGGCTCTTGAGTCAGACTCTAAGAGGGAAACACAAGAGCATAAGGGAAAGTTAGACCCCCAACACAAGCACCCTCGAGAATCTGGGATTCCTGGGGTGGAACAAAACAGCGACACGACCTTCTCGTAATCGGCGAGAATGGTGGCGATCTCCCTCATGCGCTCGTCCGACTTGTCATCGAGGTTGTAGCCCACCCCGATGGCCCGGAAGCCAAGGCGGCTGTCGTACGCACAGCGGCTGCGACCCTCACTGCGCTCCATCACCGTAGTCGTCGCCGGCACGCACGTCAGGCTGTTGGCAGGCAACCATGACCCCGCCTGCTGGAGCCAAAACAAAAAACGAGTAGGCAGGGGGGAGAAATGTTCGTCACAAGATGGCAGAGGTGCGCTGCGCACAATGCTGGAAATGTTCGTCGGAACAGTGCCAGAGAGAAAGCGGCTGGAAGATCATTAGGTCGACAGCCGACAGTCAGCTTACCTTCCGGGAGCTAGACATGGAGGCAGTGGGGCAGCCCTCCTCCATGGCTCTGGTGTCAGCCGCACACACTTTCTCGTGCTCACGGCACCACTCGGACCGCCTGAGCTCCTCCGCCGCTTCCTTGTACTGCGAGCTGAGCGCCCTGTCTATGGAGGGGCTGAACTGCTCACCCAGACGACTCTTGGCTGAAGGAAGAGAGAGCAGAGGGGCGGAGAAAGCAAAGAGTAAAACACCACTTTTGGAGCGCCTGAGCTCATCCGATGACGCCTTGTACTGCGAGCTGAGCGCCCTCTCGATAACTGACCTGAACTACTCGCCCAGACGAGTCTAGACTGCGAGAGACAGCGGCACAAGGGCGGGCGGGGGTGCAATTGAACAATTGAACAACATGAGGTGAGACGTTACTATGTGACAGCAGGCTGCCATAAGCAGGGCTGCAGCGCAACGACGAGCAGTCATGAATATGACCGACTGACCGTCATGAATATGACCGACTGACCGTCATGAATATGACCGACTGACCGTGGGTGAAGGCAACATCAGCGAAGATCGACTGCACGTTGCAACAGAAGCTGTTGAAGTTCTCGATGCGCTCCTTGGCACGCAGCAGGTAGCGCCGGGCGTCAAACGCCAGGAGAGCGTTGACCTGCACGTCGTTGAGGCACTCCTCCCCACAGTACAGCTGGTACGGGAACAGATGAAGACAGCACAGGCGGGAATAAAGGCGCATATTTTAAGAGCAACAAAGGCAAGAAGATACAAGACGTCAAAGGCGAAGGAGAGGAGAAACGGACGAAAGCGGAATGTAGCAACAATTTGCAAAAACACAGTAGAGAAGAGACGCGGCGTTAATACTGCATTCGGGGAGATTACCTTTCCATAGTCAGTCTGCGTTATGGTTGAAATCTCCCGCATGCGCTCGTCCGACTTGTCGTCGAGGTTGTAGCCCACCCCGATGGCACGGTAGCCAAGGCGGCTGTCGTAGGCACAGCGGCTGCGACCCTCACTGCGCTCCATCACCGTCGTCGTGGCCGGCACGCACGTCAGACTGTCCAGAGGCCCCCATGATGCGCTGGCCTGATCGCGTTGCACAGGGGGCAGCAAGCAAAAAGGGGAAACGCAAATCAGACACTCGCTGCGCTCCATCACCATCTTCGTGGCCGGCACGCATGTCAGCCTGTCCAGAGGGCGCCATGACGCGCTTGCCTGGCCACGTTTATTAAAGAGATGCAACAGAGTATGCTTAGCAGACACGAGTAAGAAAATGATTTAAATGGAGCATACGAAATATGAGTGAGACGATTACAGCCAGAGGGAGCAAAGCAGCAGCTAAACATCATGACGGCAGCATCATGAACATGCCAGGCCGCCCATGACCATCAGGCGGCATCATGGACATGCCAAGCTGCAACATGGACACGTCAGGCTGCAACATGGACACGTCAGGCTGCATCATGGACACGTCAGGCTGCATCATGGACACGTCTGGCTGCATCATGGACACGTCTGGCTTCATCATGGACACATCAGGCTGCATCATGCTAAGGCGGACTTACAAAAGGAGCGGAAAGGAGAAACAGAGCAAGCAGGCCCAAAGGGACCACTCCGGAAGAGAGAGCCATTTTGAACCGGTGCTACGAAAAGAAGTGCTGGAAGAACAGTCAAACAGGCCGAGAGATAGAGCGAGAGCGAGACCAGGACCAGAACACGACCAGACACACGAGTTGCAAAAACGGCGGAGGAACGAGCATTAGTATGCACGCACCGCACGAGGAGCTACTGGTGGCAAAGATGAGCGCGCCTCGGCTTTAAGATAGGGTTCAGAAATGGCCAGGTAACCGTGACGGCTCGAGAGGGTCCTTCAGCCATAAGGAACGGCGATCCTCGAATCGACACACGCGTCAGCAAGCATGACGATGCTCCTCGCAGTAGAAGATTCCACCCCTGATTAGCAGCTGGTCCCTCGTTACCTCAACTACAGCTAAACAGCATGACACTTAGCCCGCATGCATGCTAGCACTAGGGAAGAAACTTGTGGAGCGAAAAAGTATCTCGCAAACAGTGCCTCGTTATACCGCATATTCAAATTTGCACGCTACAAGTTCCTTTTTTTCCTGTAAGAGTTTCGCTGTAGCTTGAAGTTCGGATACGAGGGCTCAACAGGTGCGGCTTGTTTCGGTCAAAAACTGTTCAGCATATTGAAGCCGCACCAGCCAGGGGTTCTCGTGGTTGGTTTGGTTTGGATGAGGCAATGAGTGTGAGAGTTCGTCAGCACGAACCCGAATCGCCCGAGGTCCAGACGAGGCCTCATAAGCATTACGCTTAGCGGCTTCTCTTGCGTGCCACTTGTGCTTTCGCTTTCAAATTCGACACTTCAAACTGGCTGGTTTGTAAGGTTTGGTTCGGCCATACCTGACCCAGAAGCCAGGGCAGCACCACCAGCCAATCGGAGCGACGCTTCTCGCTGACCTCCAGGGCCCGAGCCGAGTTTCTCACCTGACCTCTAGGTACGGTTCAGACAGTTAGGCTCATCATCCTTCGTGCTTGCTGTGAACTCTATAGACTCTTGGGAGTGTCGTGGTCGCCTCGAGATCCCTCGTTCTGCTTCAGTTTCACGATTCAAACGAGTAGTTTCTCACTGACATAAGGACCTTACGAGCAGTTTCCCTATTTCGGGTTGCTTTGGAATTTCGGTCTTACAGTGACTTTAGTGTCTTTCTACCTTGCGCCGTAAAGCTTGATTTGCTTATTAGATCTAGAAAGGCAGACCAGCGATTTTAGTACGAGACAATTAGCAAGAAAGTTACTTAGCGAGCATTTTACATTTGTTTAGTGTGTCCGTCGTTCCGCAATCGTTCTTTCTCATGTTGCTTTTGTAGTCCACTGTACAGCAGCACGATGAATCCTGGCTTTAATCAACCCCCGCATCAGAGACCGCCTAGAGCTCAGTGGGATGGGAGAATTGACAGCACGACTCCGCTTCCTGGTGCCGGGAATGCTGCGAGCAGTTTAGGTTTCAACGGAACCACAGACCCTAATATCCCTTGGACGGGAGGAAGTAACTTTAATCTTTCCTACCAGGGAACGTCGAACCTCGATACCCCACTAGGCCCTCGAGCAGGTTCCGGTAGTTTCGCGACGAACAGCACGTCAGAGGTTGGAGTGCCAGGCGTTAGTGGTTTAATTCCGGGGAGTTACACTTTAACCCCGTTTCAGGGTGATAGACCTGTCAGCAGCATTTATCAGGCCAACCCGGAGGCTTTGCCGTTACAGCACGTCCCAGTGCAACGGAGCAGCCAATCCCAGATCGCCTCGTTACCAGCCATGGATTCTTTCGCGATTGCAGGCCCTCCGGCGATTCCGCTAGGTCAAGAGAGTGTTCAGACAGGCTTTGACGGTTCTAGTGCTAACTTTGGTGGACTTCAGGATTCAGGAGTGGGAGGTTTTAATCCGATTGAAGGAGGCCCCGAGTTCAACCTCTATAACGGGGACGGAATCGACAATCAGTCTCAGCCCGAAAATAGCATCTTTGAGCATGACGCTGTTTTCATGGTCAACATGTTCCTGGGCGGGGGAGGCGGTATGGATGGAGAGAATGGAGCGGGTGCCGAGGCTGTTGGTTTGGAAGATGGAATGTTTGCTTTGGCCGAGCCTCTTCTTCCAGGGTTTCCAGGGTTGGAAGGCTCGGGATTTGAGCCACCGGAAGGAGTCGGTTTCAGGTTGGAGGAGCAGGGGGGCATGGTTCCAGGGCCGAACCAGGTTCCCTCCTTTGACTCACATGGTGGCACTCAGCAAAGGGTTTCGGATTTTGATGAGAAAACGGGGCAACTTGTAACGGGATCACGGACGCTGGTGGGAGTGGGCGAGACATGGGGTGAAGTGGAACAGAGGGAAGGGAGGCGGGATGCAAGAGCTGAAAGGGAGCAGCAAATTGAGTTGGAGCAACAGCGGCAGAGAGAGCTGGAGCAACAAGAGCAGCAGAGGAGGCTGGAGCAGCAGAAGGAGTTGGAGAAACAGGAGCAGCAGAGGAGGCTGGAGCAGCAAAGGGAGGTGGAGAAACATGAGCAGCAGAGGAGGCTGGAGCAGCAAAGGGAGGTGGAGAAACATGAGCAGCAGAGGAAGCTGCAGGAGCAAAGGGAGTTGGAGAAACAGGAGCAGCAGAGGAGGCTGCAGCAGCAGAGGGAGTTGGAGAAACAGGAGCAGCAGAGAAAGCTGGAGCAGCAAAGGGAGGTGGAGAAACAGGAGCAGCAGAGGAGACTGGAGCAGCAGAGGAGACTGGAGCAACAGAAGGAGTTGGAGAAACAGCGGCAGTGGGAGTTGGAGAAACAAAGGGAGTTCGAGAAACAAGAGCAGCAGAGGAGGCTGGAGCAACTTAGGAATCTGGAGATGCAGCGGCAGAGGGAGCTTGAGAAACGAGAAGAGCAGAGGAGGCTGGAGCAAGAGAGGGAGTTGGAGAAACAGCGGCAGAGGGAGCTGGAGTTACAGGAGCAACAGCGGAAGGAAGAGCAGCAGAGGAAGCTGGAGCGACAGAGAGAGTTGGAGAAGCAGAGGGAGTTGGAGAAACAGAGGGAGTTGGAGAAGCAGAGGGAGTTTGAGAAACAGAGGGAGTTGGAGAAGCAGAGGGAGTTGGAGAAACAGAGGGAGTTGGAGAAGCAGCGGGAGTTGGAGAAACAGAGAGAGCTGGAGAAACAGAGAGAGTTGGAGAAACAGGAGCAGCAGAGGAAGCTGGAGCAAGAGAGGGAGTTGGAGAAACAGCGGCAGAGGGAGCTGGAATTACAGGAGCAGCAGCGGAAGGAAGAGCAAAAGAGGGAGTTGGAGAAACAAGAGCAGCAGAGGAAGCTGGAGCGACAGAGGGAGTTGGAGAAACTGGAGCAGCAGCGGAAGGAAGCACACCAGCGGGAGTTGGAAAAACAAGAGCAACAGAGAAAGCTGGAGCAGCAGAGGGAGGAAGAGCAACAGAGAGAGTTGGAAAATCAAGAGCAACAGAGGAAGCTGGAGCAGCATCAACGAGAGGTGGAGAAACAGCAGCAGACGGAGCTGGAGTTACAAGAGCAGCAGAGGGAGCAGCAGAGGGAGCAGCAGCAGCAGGAGCAGCATGGCAAAGGCCAGACTTCTTGGAAGGAGGGGGAGGAGAAAGTAGAGGAGGAGGTGGGGGAGAAGTCTAGCGAGGGAGAGGGACATGTGGCAGGGGCAGGGGAGCATCCAACAGGCTTAGGGGAGAAAAGGGAGGAAGAAGAAGTCGGAGTTAATGTGGTGGGAAGGGATACGGGAAGTGTTGAGGTGGAAAGGGATGCGAGAGATAGTGAGGTGGAGAAGGAAGAGGGGGCGGCTGAAGTGGAACGTGAAGAAGAAAGTGCTGATGTGGAGAGGGAGAGGCATGGATTGGGAAAAGGAAACTGGTTTGAAGACGGCAGTGAATACGGCAAAGGGAAGCAGAAGGTAAAGCTTCTGGCAGCCTTGGATAAGGAAGAGAAAGTGGAGGAGGACGAGGAGGAGGTGGAGGAGGTAGAGGAGGAAGAGGAGGAAGAGGAGGAGGATGATATAGAGGAGTGGGTGTGTGCCAAGGAGAATCGATATCGGAGACTGAGTGCCGAAGAGAAGAGGTGGAAGCAGCAGGCAAAGGGTATGAACGAGAGTGGGGAACGGAGGGGCAAGAGAGATGTTGTGAAGAGTGAGGAGCCGGCAGGGAGGAGAAAGAAAGTCAAGAGACGGAAGCTCGCGGATTGGCTGCCGACACAGATAGTGAGAGGTGAGGAGGAGAAGGAGGGGGTAGAGGTAGAGGAGAAGGAGGAACGTATAGAGGAGGCTTTTATAGAGGCGCCTGAAAACCACAAGGAGGAAGAGGTTGGGGCGAAGGAGGAAGGAGACGAGTTTGCTTTTGGGGCGCCTGGAAAGCAGGAGGTGGAAGAGGTGGAGGTGAAGGTGGAAGGGGTAGGGGCGAAGGTGGAAGGGGCAGGGGCGAAGGTGGAAGGGGCAGGGGCGAAGGTGGAAGGGGCAGGGGCGAAGGTGGAAGGGGTAGGGGCGAAGGTGGAAGGGGCAGGGGCGAAGGTGGAAGGGGCAGGGGCGAAGGTGGAAGGGCAGCAACAGGAAGAGGAAGTGGAGGAGGTGGATGAGAAGGGGGGAGAAATGGAAGAGGTGGAGGAGAAGGGGCGAGACGAGGGAGGAGAGGAGGAATTGAAGGTGGGATTGGCTGTTGAAGAGAAGAAGGAAATACTGCTGCAGGAGCAGCAGCAGCAGCAGGAGCAACAGGAGCAACAGGAGCAACAGGAGCAACAGGAGCAACAAGAGCAGCAGCAGCAGCAGGGGGAGGAGGAGCAGCAGGAGGAGAAGTTGGAAGTGTCTCTGGAAGAGAAGACGGCTATACGGCAGAAACATCAGCAAGAGGAGGAGCAGGAGCAGGAGCAGAAGGAGCAGCAGGAGCAGCAGCAGGAGGAAGAACAGCATACGAAGGAATTGGGGGAGGCAAAGGAGCTAAAAGAGCAGGAGAAAGGCAGGGAACAGGAGCAAAGGGGACAGCACGATGTGGAGCAGGAGCAAAAGGGGATTCATGTCACACCTGCTGCTGTAGGGACAGAGGGCAGGGCGGCAACCCATGTTGCGGCATTGAACAAGAAGCGGAAGCATGGAGAAGCGTTCGTGGAGGATGCTGAAGAAGCTGCTGGCCCTGAGCCGTCTGCTGCTCCTGTGTCATCTGGAGCTGCTGAGCCCTCTGGAGGTGCTGCTTTTGAATTGCTTGCTGCTGCTGCTTTTGAATCGCCTCCTGCTGCTGCTTCTGAACCGCCCGCAGCTGCTGCTCCTGATTTGCCTGCTGCTGCTGCTGCTGCTGCTGCAGGAACATCTGATACGGAAATGGAGGGAGCTGCTGGTAGGGCGAAGGATGAGAGCTGGGAGCCTGATGCAGGAGATAAAAGGGGGGAGAGTGAAGAGAAGAAGGCTGGAGAGGAAGAGGTAAGAGGAGAGAAGGTTGGGGAAAGGAAGAATGGCGGAAACGAGGGAAGGGAAGAGGAGAGTGAAATGGAGGTTGGAGGAATGTTGGGCAGCGAAATGGGCGGGATAAAAGCGGAAGGTCGTAAAGTGGCGGCGAGAGAAGAGGAGGGGCGGGACGCGGAGGGGAGAGAAGGGAAGGGGAGGGAAGAGGAGGGGAGAAAAGAGGAGGGGAGAGAAGAGGAGGGGAGAGAAGAGGAGCGGAGAGAAGAGGAGGGAAGAGAAGAGGAGAGAAAAGAGGAGGTAATTGAAGAGGAGAGGGAAGAAGTGGCGGCTGTAAGAGGAGGCGAGGGGAGTGAAGTGGAGGGGAGGGAGGAGGGAACAGAAGAAGAGGAGAGAGAAAAGGAGGGGAGAGTTGAGGAGGGGAGAGTTGAGGAGGAGAGAGAAGAGGAGGGAAGCCAAGTTGAAGGGAAGGAGGAGGAGGTAGGAGAAGAGGAGGAAAGTGAAGAATTGAGGAGAAAAGAGGAGGGAAGAGAAGAGGAGGGAAGAGAAGAGGAGGGAAGAGAAGAGGAGGGAAGAGAAGAGGAGGGAAGAGGAGAGGAGGGAAGAGAAGAGGAGGGAAGAGAAGAGGAGGGAAGAGAAGAGGAGGGACGAGAAGAGGAGCCGTTGCCTGGGGCGAGAGTGTACAAGAGAAGGGCGAGAGGGGAAACGGCAGGCAGGAATGTGGGACGTGGCAAGGGCAGTAGAGAGGAAGGGAGGGCGATGGAGAGTATGAGAAAGAGGGACCGTGGGGCAAAGGAGAGTGGGAAAAGGGCGAAGGGCACCCAGATTATACAACGTGACGTACAACCTACGCCAGCACAGCCCTCCCCAGCTCTACCTCCCCCAATAGAGGGCCCTCTTGGTCTGTGCATTGTTCTGGCGCTCCCTGCTCTAGATTTGGTTCTAGGGAAGGGAGGGAAGGTGGGGGCGAGAGAGCAGAGTGAGGGGGCTGGGAGGAGCAAGCAGGGAGCGGGTAGTGGGAGGGGCGGGAAGAGTGGGAAGGGTGGGAGGAAGGACAAGGGCAGGAGGCGTGAGAGGGTGGTGAGGAGCGAGGAGGGTGAGAAGAGCGAGAAGACGTCAAGGAGTGGGAGGAGCGGTAAGGATGGCAGGGGCAGGAAGTGGGAAGAGGAGGAGGAAGAGGAGGAGGAGGAGGAGGAGGCAGAGGAAGAAAAGCAAGGGGGTGAAGAAGAGGGGGAGAGAGCAGGCAGTAGCACGGAAGGGGGTCGGAAGGAGAATGGAGAGAGTGAGAAGGATGAGATGGCAGCTGATGCTGGGGGAGAGAGTGCATGGGACCAAGGGGGGGCAGGCGAGGGGGAAGTGGAGGCAGAGAAGGAGGAGGAGAGAATGATTGGGTCTGGGGAAGAGGAGTGTACTCCAGAGAATGGGAATGGCGCTGCTGAGCCGCCTGAAGCAGACAGTGGGATGGGTGATGCGGTCGAAGTGGATACCGGGGTTGACGAAGTGGCAGATGGAAAAGAGTTGAAGGCAGAAGGGAAGGGGAGAGGTGTTGAGTTGGTGCAGAAGGATGTCGAGGCTGTGGTGGTGAGGGACGGGAGTGAGGGGTGGGTCGAGTCGGGTAGTCAGGAGGAAGAGGGGGCGAGGGAGAAGGCGATAGGTGCTGAGCATGGCATGGAGGAGGGAGTGGGCTTGAGAGAAATATCGCCAGCAGCAGTAGCCGCAGGAGCTGCAACAGCTTCAGCAACAGAACTAACAAGAGAGGGTACGGAGGCAGATGTGCAGGTTGAGGAGGAACCTGGGAGAAGTGCAGATGAGGAGGAGGTAGGGGTTCGTGATGGGGAGAATCTGGATGGATCAGCGGTGGAAGAGGCGCCAGAGTGCGGCTGTAGGGAACAGGGGGAGAAAGGGGAGGAGAGAGAGGAGGAGAAAGTGGAGGAAAAAGAGGAGGAGAAAGAGGAGGAGAAATTGCAGGAAAGAGAAGAGGAGAGAGAGGAGGAGAAAGAGGAGAGAGAAGAGGAGAGAGAAGAGGAGAGAGAGGAGGAGAAAGAGGAGGAGAAAGAGGAGGAGAGAGGAGAGGAGAAAGAGGAGGGGGAAAAAAAGGGAGCTGACGTTGAAGAAACGGGAATGGATGAGAGCGATAAGGCAGCAGTGGGGGAGGGGAGAGATGGCAGCGAGGATGTGGTTGAGCACGGTTCCCTGCGGTCATATTCACCTGTTGAAGTGGTGCCAGGAGAGGTAGAGGTGGACACGGACGGAGAGGTCAACGCACAGGCAGGGGAGAGGGTGGATGGAGGAGCACCAGCGGAAGAGGGGGGTTCAGAAGAGGGGGGTTCAGAAGAGTTAGGGCCAGGTGACGAGGCAGGTGTGGTGGAAGTGGACACAGAGGCAGCTAGTACTGGGGTGAAGGAGAGACTTAGGTTGCGAGAAGCGAGACCAGAGGCAGCAGTATCAGGTGAAGCAGCCGCAGAAGAAGGAGCAGAAGCGGCAGAAGGGGCAGGTAGAGAGGCAGATGTGGTGGAGGTAGAAACAGAGCCACCTAGTACTCGGGTCCAGGAACTTGGATTGCGAGGAGTCACAGAGGCAGCGGAAGCATCAGCATCAGAAGCAGCAGAAGCAGCAGAAGCAGAAGCAGCAGAAGCAGAAGCAGCAGAAGCAGAAGCAGAAGCAGCAGACCCAGAAGCAGCAGAAGCAGAAGCAGAAGCAGCAGACTCAGAAGCAGCAGAAGCAGAAGCAGAAGCAGCAGAAGCAGCAGAAGGGGCTGGTGGGGAAGCAGACGTGGTGGAAGTAGGCTCGGCAACAGAGGAAACTGGGTTGAAGGAAGTTGGGGGGATGGCAGCAACAGAGGAAGAGGTGCAGGAAGTGGAAATGGAACCACACAGACCAAAACCAGCAGGAACTCGGACGGGGGAACTTGCGTTTGAAGCACTAGGAACAGAGGCAGCAGAAGCAGAATCAGAAGCAGAAGCAGAAGCAGCAGCAGCAGCAGCAGAAGCAGAAGCAGAAGCAGAAACAGCAGCAGCAGCAGAAGCAGCAGCAGAAGCAGCAGAAGCAGCAGGTGGGGACGATGCCGGTGGCGTGGTAGTAGAGAGAGCGAGGAAGAGGAGGAGAGTGCGGCCCATGATGAGACGAGTGCAGTCAGTCACAGATGCTGCTGCTAAGGCTATGGAAGCAGCTGGCCACGCTCTTAGCCCCGCCAAAGCGGTTAAGCCTATGGAAGCAGCTGACCAGGCGCGAAACGCGGGTGAGACACAGCCTGGTGGTGCGGATGATTCTACTGATCGTGCTGCTGCTGCTGGTGATGCTGGTGATGCTGGTGATGCTGGTGGTGCTGGTGGTGGTGGTGGTGTAGTGGCGGCTGCTGCCGCCCTTCATGCAGCGGCTGATTCCGATTCCATACACACGCATATACACTCACATGGTGACGTTGGCAGCGGTAGTGATGCGGCTACTCATTCAGAGTCGCCGGTGTCCGTGTCTCCATCTCCCTCCCTCTCCCCTCTTCCGTCCCCAACTCCATCAACAACTCCGTTAGCATCACTGTCTGCAACACCATCAGCATCGAAATCAGCATCACCATCACGATCACCATCACGTTCCCCGTCAGTGTCTGCCTCTAGGTCCCCCTCACCACCTCGCATTCCCCCCAAAACAAAGGTGAAAAGAGCGACGAGTAAAGACGCAGCAGCAAAAGCAGCAGCTGCGAGAGGAGAGGAAGGAGAAGTAGGAGCCGCGGCAGCAGCAGGAGTAAAAACAGCAGAAGCGGGGGAGGCAGCAGAGCAAACAGCAGAGCCCGAGCCCACAGAAGCACCAGCACCAGCACGAGCACGAGCACCAGCACGAGGCACAGGGTCATCCATCCTCTCGCCCAAGCCCAGGGCCCCACTGTTCTGCTTGGATGGGTTCGAAGCAGGAGACGTGGTGTGGGCAAAATCCGGGCGGAAAAAAGACCCCTGGTGGCCTGCCCGTGTGGTGGATCCCATTTACGAAGCCCCTGCTGCTGTTAGGAGCGCAGCAGAAGCGGACCGCCTCTGCGTCATGTTCTTCGGCCCGTCGCTTAGCAAAAAGCGGGATCGGGATTACTCGTGGGTGCCTGAGGGCAGCATTCTGCCGTTTCTGGACTTCTTGGTTAAGTATGAGAGCCAGCCGCTGACTACTCGGAACCGGCCCAAGGATTTCAGGAAGGCGGTGGAAGAGGCAGTGCTAGAGAGTGAAGGGATGGTGGGGCATGAGGAGATGGCGGAGGGGGGAGGGGGAGGAGCGGGAGGAGGGGAGGGAGGAGTGGTGGGGGATGGTGAGGATGGGGAGCAGGGGCGGGAGGGGAATGAGGCTGGCACGAATGCTTCTAGCGGTGGTGGTAGTAGTGGTGGTGCTGCTGGTTATGGAGTTGCTGCTGTTGGAACCACGGCTGCTGCTGCTGCTGCTGCCGCTGCTCTTACCAAATCTGCTGCTGCTGCTGCTGCCGGTGGGAGGGGAGGCGGGAGGTCAGGCGGGTTGGTGGGTGCAGCGAAGGGGGGATCAGCAGCAGCAGCTGGGTTGGCAGGGGCTGGAGATGAGGCGGACGGCATGATGTGTGTGGGGTGCCGGATCATGCCTGGCGTTATAGGCAGGCCCACTCGTACCCTCGACGACCTGTTTTCACCTGGAGGAGGGGGGAAGGGGAGAGGGAAGGGGGAGGGCAGTGGGGGGGATTCGTCTGGGGAGAGTGATTGGGACGAGAAGGAGGTGGGGAAGAAGAGGAGGAGGAAGAGCGGAGGTGGAGGAGGCAGCAGGAAAAGGCAGGCAGTGGGAAGTGGGCAGGATGGGGAGGAGTGGGAGGAGAAGGAGAATGGGCGCGAGGAGGGGGGGAGGAGGAGCAGGGGAAGGGGCAGGCCAGAGAAGGGGAGGAAGGGCAGGAGGCGGGCAGAGGGAGGGTGGGTATGGGGAGTGAGCAAGAAGCGGAGCAGGAGCAAGGGCACCAGCCGGTCGGGGAAAGCGGGTCAGAGCAGGCACAGCGGCGGTAGGGCTGTTGTTGCGAGCCGTGATGATGGTGCTGCGGAGAGTGCCGGAGACAGTGCCGGTGCCTGTGCTGCTGTTGCTGCTGGTGTTGGGGCTGGTCGGGCTGGGGCTGGTCGTGCTGGGGCTGGTCGTGCTGGTGCTGCCACAGAAAGCACAGCAGGCAGCAGCTACACCCAACGTCTAGTGGACGAGCTGCTAGACTCCGTGCCCCTCTGCATTCAGTGCCGGAAGCTCTTCCAATCGACGCAGTTCTGCCCGCTGTGTCTGCTCGTGTGGCTGCCGAACGAGAAGGGTGATTTCGCCCACTGCGACCGGTGCGAGCTGTGGGTGCATGCTGAGTGTGACGGGATCTCGAGGCAGCGGTTGGATGCGATTAACAGGGGTGCGGCGTATTTGTGCCCCAACTGCCGGCAGACGAAGGAGGTGGAGGAGAGGGAGAAGAGGGAGAGGAAGGAGAGGAGGGAGAAGAAGAAGGAGGAGAAGGAGGAGAGGGAGGAGAAGGACAGGGAAGAGAGGGAGGAGAGGGCTAGGAAGGCAGCACAGGCTGCTGCTGCCGCTGCTGCTGCTACTGCTGCTCGGATGAAGGAGGAGGGGAGGAATGTAGAGAGAGTTTCAGAGGGGTGGTCTGGTATGGAGGTGATAACAGGCAAGGGGTTTGGTTTGGCTGGTGCTCTCCTGGGGATAGGTGAGGCGAAGCTGGAGTGCCTGCATGGGGATCGCCTGATCAGCCATGGGAATGGGCATGGGCATGGGCATGGGCATGGGCATGGGCATGGGCATGGGCATGGGGATGGGGATGGGCATGGGGATGGGGATGGGAATGAGAATAGAGTGAAGGAAGAATGGGTTGAAAAAACAGCGGTGAGAGAAGTAGGTGTGGGTGGGAATGGATACATGAGCAATGGTGATGGCGATGGCGATGATGGTGATGGTGATGGTGATGGTGATGGCGATTTCAAGGCACGCCAGGAGAGGAGGCATGTGGTAGCAACAGAAAAAACACCTGACACAGCTGACTCACTGCCAGACTTCTCACCTGAGAATTCACCTGACACTCCATCCTCCTCACCTGAGGCAGAGGCAGAAGGCGACAACAAGATAGCAGCAGCGCCACCCATCCCTGCAGCCCACCCGCCAATGCCCGTCACCTGCGCCTCTTACAAAGGCCTCTACCTCCCCTCCCTGCACCTCGTGCAGTGCTGCTGCCGCTCCTGCCGGCCCAAAACCAAGGACAGTAGCAGCAAGGGCGGCAGCAGCAAGGACGGAAGCAGCAAGGGCGGCGGCAGCAAGAGTAGCAGCGCTAGCAGTGGTGGTGCTGGTGGGGTGGCGGCAGCAGCGGCAGAGGCGTCACTGATGGCTCTGAGCGAGTTTGAGAAGCACTCTCAGTGCCGCTCCAAGAAGTGGAAGGCGTCGGTGCTGCTGCAGGGCACGGAGAAGAAAACCACCCTCTTCGCCTGGGTAAGCACCTCTCACCTGAACCCTTCAAGTCTCGAGTCGACTCAAAATGCGTCGGTGCTTCAGCAGGGCACAGAGAAGGACAACCAACCTCTTCACATGCTTCTACTCAATAACATAACCCTTTTGCTGCTGCAGTGAACACAGCTCTCACACTCCCGCCTCTCTCAAGTGGTCCCTGTATTGGTGTAACCTTAGATACACACCAGGTCAAAACAGTCAAGCAAGGTGAGTCGCGTTCTCACGCTCCCGCCTCTCTCAAGCAGCTTCTTTAATGGAACCCCTGGGTCACTCGAGCTTCCTCTCCTCCCAATTTTGGCCCCATGATCGCTTCCCATCTCCCCTTCCCTTCCCTTCCCCCCGCGTGAGGCGCCTAAAAAATAGAGGCGCCTAAAAAATAGAGGCGCCTAAAAAATAGAGGCGCCTAAAAAATAGACTCCTCACACATGATCGCTTCCCATCTCCCCTTCCCTTCCCCCCCCCCCCCCTTCCCCACCTTCCCCCTCTTATTTCGCTGCTCCTCCTCCCTCCCCTCAGCTCCAGGCGTCCCAAGAGGCGGGCGTGAGGGGCCTTGCATTCTACGAGGAGCCTCCCCCTCGCAGCCGCCCAGGGAATCGCCAGCAGGGAATCATATCCACACTGCGCGGAGCGGGCGGCATGGCAGCCGCAGCAGCAGGAGGGGCGGGCGGCAGTGGGATGAGGGGCAGGGCGGGTGCGAGGTCCTCAGTCGCGCCGTCAGGCGTGGCCTGGTTGGAAAAGGCTCTAAGTGAACCGTATGAGGGGGTGGAGTACCGGTGGACGTCGGAGCGGTGTGCGGTGTGCAATAGCGACGAGGACTCGGATGCGAGTAGAATGCTGATCTGCATGCGGTGTGAGCTGGGTGTGCATGAGGAGTGCTATGGGATAGTGAGGCAGCCGGGATCGCCAGGCAGAGGGGGTGGAGGGGGTGGTGGGGGTGGTGGTGGTGGTGGTGGTGGTGGTGGTGGGGTTGGTGGTGGTAGTGGCGGGCGGTCAGTGCCGACTGATGCTGCTGCCTTTGGCATGTCGTGGCTGTGCCAACGCTGCGACCGCAGCAGCACTGCCGTTGGTACAGCCACAGACACGGACACTCATACAGGCGCAGGCACAGGCAAAGGTACAGGGAAAGACAAAGGCAAGGGCAAGCGCATGGGTAAAGCCTCGGACCCCATGGCACAAGTGGGCTTAGCCAACTCAGGCACAGGGGGAGGGGCGGTAGGGGGTCTGGGAGGAGGTAGGGGCGGGGGAGGGGCAGCAGGAGGGGGGGATGAGGAGGAGGAGGAGATTAGGAGGGAGTGCTGCCTGTGTCCCGTCAGGGGCGGGGCTTTAAAGCCCACCACGATTAAGCTAGCCCTGCCTGGAAGCAGCAAGACAAAGGGCGAGGCACCGGGGAGAAGAGGCCCAGGAGCAGGTGCAACTGCAGCTGCTGCTGCCGCTGCAGCCGCTGCTGCTGCTGCAGCTGCAGCCGCTGTGGCAGGTGGGAGGGGTGGGCGAGCAGCAGGGTATGGAGCAGGAGGAGGGGGGCGGGAGGGGGAGGGGGAGGAGGGGAGGAGGGGGAGGAGGGGGGGAGGGAATGGTGGCGCGGCAGCGGTGGGCGCATCTGGTGTGCGGGCTGTGGATGCCGGGGGTCAGTGTGGTTGGGGAGGGCGAGGGGGAGATGCTGGACGGCATTGATAACGTGGATCCAGAGCGGTTTAAACTGGTGAGAAGCGGTTCTGGCTGGTGAGACGTGGTGTCGATAATTTTCTGCTGTCAGCATGACTGGTGATGCATCCACACCACATGCTCCCATTCTCTCCTATACTTCCCAACCCTGTACCCCTATCCCCCAGGCGTGCTGCATCTGCCGGCAGCCAGATGGGGCGTGCATTCAGTGCGACGGGCCGGTATGTCTGGTGGCATACCATGTGGTGGGGTGTGCCCCATGACGGTGGGGTGGGTGGATCACGGACGTCCTGCCTCCTCCTCCCCTCCATGCCCCTATCCCCCAGGCGTGCTGCATCTGCCGGCAGCCAGATGGGGCGTGCATTCAGTGCGACGGGCCGGTATGTCTGGTGGCATACCATGTGGTGGGGTGGGTGGATCACGGACGTCCTGCCTCCTCCTCCCCTCCATGCCCCTATCCCCCAGGCGTGCTGCATCTGCCGGCAGCCCTATGGGGCGTGCATTCAGTGCGACGGGCCGCGCTGCCTCGTCGCGTATCACGTGGTGTGCGCCATGAAGGCGGGTTGGATCATGGACGTCCTGCCCAACGATGAAGGGGAGCTGCTGCGATGCACCTTCTGCCCCAAGCACAGGTGCGACCTCAGCGCAGGTGTCTTATGCGTTGACTAAAATCACATGTATGTTTTGTGCTGGTTTGGATATGCAATGCACCTTCTGCCCAAAACACAGGTATGTTTCAGAAACGCCAGGAAAAGCTTGTTCACTCAGCCGACTGTTGAGTGAGCACGGCGCCTCAGCCAACGCGGATGGGCATTTGAGGCGCGGCAAAACACAAGTGGTGGATGCCGCTTTTGCCTCCCCATCCCTTCTTCTCTCACGACCACTCATGAACCTCCTACCTCAAGCCCTTCCCCTCTCGCACTGCCCATCCCCACCCCCCAACCCCCCCCAACCTCCCACTACCCCCAGGGATCCGTATCCTGAGCTCGAAGTGATTAGTCCAGCCGCCCTGGCAGCAGGCAGGCGGCTTATTGTGTGTGCTTTTGAGTCGACTCAAAAGCAGACTCCAAAGCAAACTCAAAAGCAGACTCAAACGCAGACTCAAACGCAGACTCAAACGCAGACTCAAACGCAGACTCAAAAGCAGACTCAAAAGCACCCCCACCCCAACCCCCTACTACCCCCCCCAGGGATCCGAATCCTGAGCTTGAAGTGATCAGTCCAGCCGCCCTGGCAGCAGGCTGGTGGCTTGTTGAGTGCGGTGTATTTTGAGTCGACTAAAAACGCACCCCTCCACACACCCCCACCCACCAACCCCCCACTACCTGCAGGGATCCGAATCCTGAGCTCGAAATGATTAGTCCAGCTGCCCTAAACCCCATCCCCTCGCCCACTCCCGACCCCCACCCCATCCCCACCCCAACCCCCCAACCCCCCACTACCCCCCACTACCCGCAGGGATCCGAATCCTGAGCTCGAAGTGATTAGTCCAGCCGCACTGGCAGCTGGCAAGCGGCTTGTGGAGCGCGGTGTATTTTGAGTCGACTTTAAACCAACCCCGCCCCCCTCCCCCCACCCCCCAACACCCCACTACCAGCAGGGATCCGAATCCTGAGCTCGAAGTGATTGGTCCAGCTGCCCTGGCAGCTGGCAAGCGGCTTGTTGAGCGCGGGGGGCGTCTGAGGAAACGGACTGGAATCACGGGATTCGCTGCCATAGGAGCTGGCACGATTAAGAGTGATGTGGTTAAGAATGAAAGGGAGAGGGATAGGGAGGGCGGGGAGGGGCATGAGAGGGGGAGGGATAGGGAGGGGAGGGGGGATGCGGAGAGGGGGAAGGGGAAAGGGACGAGAGAAAGGGAGATAGAGGAGGATGAAGGGGAGGAGGAGGAGAGGGAGGGGAAGGGGCGCAAGCGGCGGAAGGAGGGTGAGAGGAAGGGAGGGAGGGGTGGTGGTGGTGGTGGTGGTGGTGGCGGTGGTGGTGGCGGTGGTGGTGGTGGTGGTGGCAAGAGTGGTGCTGATTCAAACGCGAGCAGTGACGTGGTTCTCATGGATGTGGATGGGTATGTGGATGAGCGTGAGGGTGAGGGTGATGGGGAGGTGAGAGGGGAGGTGAGAGGGGAGGTGAGAGGGGAGGAGGAGGATGAAGAGACGAGAAGGGACGAGCTTGGGGGAACCACCGAGGCGACGCAGGGAGGGAGGAAGAGAGGCCAACGGGAGAGTAGAAAGGGGGCTGATGGTGCTGATGGTGCTGATGGTGCTGATGGTGCTGATGGTGATGATGTTGCTGGTAAAGATGGCAAGGGTGATGCTCATGATGCTCATGATTTGTGTGGTGCTGATGCTGATGGTGGGGATGGTGATGGTCAGGTGGAGGTGGAGGAGGAGGAGGAGGGGGAGGAGGAGGGGGATGAGGGGGCGAAGAGTGACGTCATGGTGCTGAGTCCAGAGCCGTCTCAGGGCGCAGCAGAAGGGGGGGCCGGGGAGGCGGATAGTGCAGCTGTGGCAGGAGCAGGAGGGGATGGGAATGAGGGTGTGCTGTCGCGGTGCCAGGAGTACAGAGGCCGAAACAGCCGAATCCGGTGGAGGCAGGCGATGCACAGGGAGGACAGGGGGGACAGGGGGGACAGGGGGGACAGGGGTAACAGGGGGGAAAGGGGGGAAAGGGGGGAAAGGGGGGAAAGGGGGGAAAGGGGGGGAAAGGGGGGAAAGGGTGAAAGCAGGGGATAAAACGGAGGGGAGGAGGGAGGAGGGAGTTCCAGGGGCGGATGAGGGGACGCGGAGGGTGTGGGGCAAGGGGCGCAAGGAGATAGTGCCGTACCTGATTGGGGGCGTGTGCTGGCACGACAGGGAGTCGATCATGGAGTTAAGGGTGCGTATGGTGCTATGGTGCTATGGTGCTATGGTGCTATGGTGCTATGGTGCTATGGTGCTATGGTGCTATGGTGCTATGGTGCTATGGTGCTATGGTGCTATCATGCTATGGTTACTGTGGTGCCAAAGGTGGGTATGGGCAAAGTGAGGGTGTGGGGCAAGGGGCACAAGGAGATTGTGCTGTACCTGATTGGGGGAGTGTGCTGGTATGAAAAGAGAGACGAACATGGAGCTCAGGGTGGGTGCGACTGTAGGGTTGCTGTGGTGCTACTGGTTACTGTGGTGCTAGGAGTGTGGTATGGTGCTAGGGATTGCTCTGGTGCTATGGTTAAGCCTGATGTTCCTGAACGAAATTGGGCCCCATCCCCCTCCTCTTTCTACTCCCGCTCTTCACACATGAAGCAATCTGATGCTCCTGCTCTCTCCTCTCCTCATCCTTACTCATGCTTCACACATGAAGCAATCTGCAATCCGGACCTCAGGCCAAAGGTGCCTAAGGTGCCAAAGGTGCCAAAGGTGCCAAAGGTGCCAAAGGTGGGTATGCAATCCGTTATTATCCGCAATCTGATGCTCCTGCTCTCTCCTCTCCTCATCCTTACTGCTGGCTAAACAATCTTCCACCATACTTCCCTCCCCTCGTTATTGTCACACGCCAGCACCCAGAGGAGCCGCCCCCAGCCACATCCCGTGCAGAGCGAATGAAAGTTGTGCGGGTGAGATAAGTCACAAGAGGTGAGGGTGAGTTTTGAGTCGACTCAAAATGCGCCCCCAGCCACAAGGGGTGAGGGTCAAGGGTAAGGGTGAGATACGACACAAGAGGTGAGGGTCTAGGGTTAGGGTGAGATACGACACAAGGGGTGAGGGTCTAGGGTTAGGGTGAGACACGACACAAGGGGTGAGGGTCTAGGGTTAGGGTGAGATACGACACAAGGGGTGAGGGTCTAGGGTTAGGGTGAGACACGACACAAGGGGTGAGGGTCTAGGGTTAGGGTGAGATACGACACAAGGGGTGAGGGTCTAGGGTTAGGGTGAGATACGACACAAGGGGTGAGGGTCTAGGGTTAAGGTGCATGGTCGGGTGAGGTGAGGTACAAGGCTGGGTACGCTAGGTGAGTTGAACCCACAAGACCCGCCTGTAACCACTTCCTGTGGAAGTTGAGTGTTTTTGAGGCGCCTCAAAACTAGACTTGCTTTGGGAACTGGGTTCTTTTTAGGCGCCTCAAGACTAGACTTCCTGTGGAAGCTGGGTATTTTTGAGGCGCCTCAAAACTAGACTTGATGTGGGAGCTGGGTATTTTTGAGGCGCCTCGAAACTAGACTTGCTGTGGGAGCTGGGTGGGTTGGATGGGATGCACTCAGAATATTCGCCTGTAGCCACGTCGCCTGCAGAGCGAAAGAAAGTCGTGCGGGTGAGAGACATGAGCAAGGAATTTTTTCCTAACTAAAACAGTGTTCTACAGCCTGCAGCCACGTATGGCTAAAACCACCACCAAGTGGTGCTCCTGGGGGTGAGAGACATGAGCAAATTTTTAAAGTCTCTCAAGGGCTGTATGATGCACGTGGGTGCAGGCAGGGTAGCGAGTCGACTAGGGAGGGAGCATGTGGGTCGATGGTTGTGAGTCAGCAGCAAGACGTGTTTGTTGCCTGAACCTGCCACCCCCCCCTCCCCCCCCCCCCCCGGTTGACTTTTGAGTCGACTCAAAAGTCACCTGAGCTTGTGGATGGATGGTTGTGTGAGTCAGCAGCAGGACGCGTTTGCTGCCTGACCAACCCCCCCCCTCCCCCCGATTGCTTCCCTGAATGCCTCTGTGCTTCTGCAGGACACGGCGTGGCAGAGAGTCACCTTTGGGCGGTCGGCCATTCACGACTGGGGGCTGGTGGCGCGGCGAGACATTGAGGAGGGCGACATGGTGGGTCCACGTGTGTTGGAGGGGGGGGTATGTGTGCGGGTGTGTGTGTGTACCTCGTGGTGTGTGCTTTGGATGTGCGTTTCATGACTCTACTCGCTGCGGCCATGCACGACTGGGGTCCGGTGGCGCGGCAAGACATCGAGGAGGGCGAGATGGTGGGTCCATGTGTGTGGGTGTGTGTGTGCGTGCATGCGCCTCGTGTGCGCGTGCATGCGCCTCGTGTGTGCTTGCAGTTTGTGCTTGCAGTGTGTGCTTGCAGTGTGTGCTTGCAGTGCCCTAAACCCTAAACCCGAAACCCTAAACCCTGCCTCATGACTGTGCTGCATGACTGTGCTCATTGCTACCATCCACGACTGACCCATACAGTTACTCACCGAGTCACTCACCATCACTTTTCTTTATGAAGTATCCCATTGTCTCGCCACTGACCCTCACACTTTCCCTTTGTGACTGTATCAGGTGGTGGACTATCGAGGGGAGGCGTTGAGGAGGAGTGTGGCGGAGCTGAGGGAGAAGAGATACCTCGACAGAGGGGAGCTGTGCTATGTGAGTATAGCGAAGGGGAGCTGTGCTATGTGAGTATAGCGAAGGGGAGCTGTGCTATGTGAGTGTAGCGAAGGGGAGCTGTGCTGTGTGAGTATAGCGAACGGGAGCTGTGCTATGTGAGTATAGCGAAGGGGAGCTGTGCTATGTGAGTATAGCGAACGGGAGCTGTGCTATGTGAGTATAGCGAAGGGGAGCTGTTCTATGTGAGTATGACGAAGGGGAGCTGTGCTATGTGAGTATAGCAATGGGGAGCTGTGCTATGTGAGTACAACAAAAGGAGATAGTGTGCTGTGCAAGGTGGAAGTTGTGAGAATAGAAGAAGAATGTGCTATTGAGAGTATAGCCAATGGATGACTGTGGCTTCATGGCAATGTGAGCAGGAGGTAATTATTCAAGTGCGTGCTTTTACAGGAGGTGTGCTGTGTTGTGCTGTGCTGTGCTGTGCTGTGATGTGATGTGCTGTGCTGATTACATGTGTCCCATGTGTCCCATATGTCCCATGTGTCCCATGTGTCCCATGTGTCCCATGTGTCCCATATGTCCCATGTGTCCCATGTGTCCCATGTGTCCCATGTGTCCCATGTGTCCCATTTGTCCCATGTGTCCCATGTGTCCCATGTGTCCCATGTGTCCCATGTGTCCCATGTGTCCCATGTGTCCCTTGCATCCCACCATCCCACCCCCATCTCATGTATCCAATGTGACTTCAGCTGTTCAAGGTGGACGAGGAGAGGGTGGTGGATGCCACGATGGCCAGCAACTACGCGAGAATGATGAACCACTCTGTATGCGCCAAGTGCTTCTTTGTTCACAGCTTATCCCATGCCATGCATGTAATCGTTCACATTGCATGCGTTTACTTGACTTAGAAGCACATTCGCAATACATTCCATGCTCATCGCACCTCTTGAATGCACTTAATCGTTCACATTACTTCTGTGCCAGCAGCTCTTGAATTCACTGTCCCTCATCTCTTTTTCTCCCTTTTTTCACACATCCTTTCTCTTAACCCCTCGGGGTCTCCTCCCCTTTCCGCATCCCCTTGGTCAGTGCAACCCCAACTGCTTTGCCAAAATCTTCGACATAGAGGACAAGAATGGTAACCCGAGTCCGATCATCGTCATCATTGCTCGCCGCCCCATTCGCATGGGAGAGGAGCTAACGTGAGTGCATGCCTAGTGTGACGAAGTGTTAGCTTGTGTGTGTGCATGCCTGTGCTTCCACAACCCCAACCCTTCCTCGACTATCTCTGAGGCACCTCACACACTCCCACATGTGCAGATGCGTACACGCTTAGACTTACACATGCACCAACCCCCCTTTCCGTCCGTTCCCATTCCCAACATCCAGGTACGACTACCGGTTTGACCGCGAGGAAAAGGACCGAGTTCCGTGCCGCTGCGGTGCCGCCACGTGCCGGTCCTTCATGAACTGATGCTTGCCGCGTGCCACGTGCTCTGAAGCTGCGAGATGCTTCTTTTCGGGCCGCCTCAACCGAGTGCGGTGCTCCTGCGGTGCTGCCACGTGCCGGTCCTTCATGAACTGATCTTTGCCACGTGAACCGAAGCTGCGAGATGCTTCTTTTCGGGTCGCCTCAAACGGGGTGCGGTGCTGCTGTGGTGCTGCTGCGGTGCTGCTGCGGTGCTGCCATGTGCCGATCCTTCATGAATTGATGCATGCTCTGCTAACTGATGCTGCTTTGAGGCACCCTCACTCACAAAAAGTGCTGTGCTGGCTGCTGACAGATGGTTGCTGCTGCTGGATGCCTGATGCCAGATGGCTGACACTAACAGGTGGATGCTCAACGCACACTGACTGAAACACAGACTCATTCTGAGACTGACGCAGCAGCTGACACACACGCTGACACACAGACTGATCCTTAACACTGACAAGACTCGTGTGCTAATACATAGACTGACACAAACATTGACTCATGCGAGACAATCCTGACTACACGCATATACTGTAGGTGCCTAATACGGGCTTTTACGCCGACGGGTTTGATATGCAAGCTATGGGTGATTGTAATGCTGATTTGATAGTTTCCACACTTGTAGGTGCTTTGATGGATGAATGGATGCACAAGTAATATCACTAGAATGATATTGGTCTTCCAGCGGGCTTCAAGTACACTTGTGTTCATTTTCACCCTGCGCATTTTTCTTGATTCGATGAACAGTCGCGGGTGGGGAGGAATGCGACGCCCTGCGACGACTGGTCAACCGACTGCTGTGCGACATCAGCTCGCCGACAAATTTGGCGCAAGGGACGGGGGGAAACATCTAAACGCGCAAGGTTTGGGGCGCGCGGGATCAATCGGGGGAACAACTCAGCAGCAGCTGGATGGGGGCGAAATTCGCATGGACGCGGGAGCGTTTGTGGATCAGTTCTCGTGCTTCACATCGCGTCGCAGCGATTCGCCACCAGTTCGCCCTGCTCAGTACTGAGGGCGGGTCCCAAACACACTTTTTCCCAAATACCCTACCCAACCATTCTAGTTTGGCTCTTGAAAGCTCGTAAACGCAGAGAAACTTTCTGCACCGCAATCAAACGTACTTTTGAGACCCGCCCTAAGATCGGCTTCGCAGCAGCAGCGTACTTTCGCCTGAGGGAATGGTCGCATCGTCGCATGCAGGTCCCCTCCCCCTTTCCATCCACTGTCTGTCCGTACAATCTATCGCCTCAGTTGAGCCCTGCTCCAAATTTTATCACCGACCGACAATCGCGGAAACCCTGCCACAGGATTACTAAGGATGCGGGCAGTATTTGCCATGGCTCGTCCTGTCGGCGTGCGTCCCTCCCCGGACCCACCTGTCAGGCAAGGCTACAACCCATTTTACTCTCGCGACTCGCGAGTGTTTCTTTCCCGCCCACGGGTGCGCCACGCAAAATACCGCACTGGTATCTACCTTTCAGATGACCCCTTTCACGGAAGCTACGGTGTGCGTTCGTCGCACCGCCGCGATTCTCGCTGACCAGTCGTCATGTCCGGCTTCCTCGCATGGCTGTCAGTTGGTGGATACGCCGTTACGCGGTGGTCATTGGGTTGACCCGTGCCGTACGATCATGCAGTGGAGCAGTGGAGCAGTGGAGCAGCACTACCTCGGTCTATAAAAGCATCTCATTCCACTCCATCCATCCAAGCAGCGGTTTCTATTTTTCAGACTCCTCACGCAACGGTTTCTCATAACAACTCGACTTCTGCCTCGCATTGACAACAATCGATTCGATTCCTTTTCTGCGTCGTCTCACCTTTGCCTCTCACCCTAACCCTAACGACCTGATGATGACGACGACGCCTCTTCGCCACCTTCTCGCCGCGTCGCTGCTGGCTCTCCTCGTCGTCTCCTGTAAGCACCTCCTCTCTATCCGATAAAAGCACATCCACTCTACTACGCACTGCATTCCTTCTCGCGTAGTCTGCAGCATCCGGGGCTGATTCCTAATCAAATCTCTAACGGCTTTTGAGTCGACTCAAAAGCAGACTAACCAAATCTCTAACGGCGTCCCCCCTCGACCCCGAATATCGCAACAGGCGCCGCTCGCGGCGGCGGTGGGGGCAAAGGAGGCGGCGGTGGGCGCGGGGGCGGCGGAGGGCGCGGCGGAGGCGGGGGCGGAGGCGGACACGGTGGTGGTGGCGGCGGGTTTGGCGGAGGCTTCTTTGGCGGCGGCCGGCGCAATGGCAGTAGGGGTCTGGGCACTCGCGTGGGTGAGTCTCGGTTGGAGTTAGACTGTTAGTACAGGCCGCTCTAGTATTGCCACTCTGTCTCCCTCTGACTTCGCATGATCTTACCTCTTTCACTTCCCTTGCACCCTCTCTCACTCCACTCATCTCCCTACCTCTTCGCCTTCACCCGCTTCCCCATCACCCCCTTCCCCTTCACCCCCTTCCCCTTCACCCCCTTCCCCCTGAGAGCTCATCTCCCTTTCACCTGAACCGGCATTTTCAAAGGTGAATGGCACGGGGAACGGCAGTAACTGGAGACTATTTTTGAGGCGCCTCAAAAATAGGGGAACGGCAGTAACTGGAGGCGTAAGCTGGCGGCGTGTCACCAACCCTTGCCTCCCTCCTCCCCCCTCGTCCCCTCCTGCTCGGCGATTGCTGGCGACGAATGCTGGAGACGAATGCTGGAGACGAATGCTGGAGACGAATGCTGGAGACGAATGCTGGAGACGAATGCTGGTGGCGTGTATTCTACCATCACCAACCCTTGCCTCCCCCACTGTACCCCCTCCAGTTCCATACCTCCGCTCTACACCCCTCCCCCCCCCCCACTCCCCTCTCATATCCCCAGGAGCCGTGTGTGCGAGGCTGAACGGCACGGAGACGACCGCGGCTGGAGATGTGAATGCCACCGGGGTCATCTCCCTCGCTGTCTTCCAGTAAGCATGAGCATGCCACAACTGCTGATTGCACTCCTGTCTTCCAGAAAGCAACTCTTCAGATCGCCAACCTGCAAATCAACTTGCTGTTTAGTCCCTCAAAGCGTTGCCATCATATTCCCTCTCCTTCTCCCCCTCTCCTCTTTGCTAAAAGTCGCACGTTTTCCCACGCCAAGTTGAGAACCCATGCCCCAGGTATGCCCACCATCATGGCACCACCTCCTGATATAAGGTTGGTTTTGAGACGTCTCAAAAGCAACCTTATATCAAGCTGAGAACCCATGCCCCATGTATGCCCACCATCATGGCACCACCTCCTGATATAAGGCTGGTTTTGAGACATCTCAAAAGCAACCTTAAATCAAGCTGAGAACCCATGCCCCATGTATGCCCACCATCATGGCACCACCTCCTGCTCCACCCCACTCCTCTCCGGTATCAACCCGGCCCAACCAGGAGCGGCAGCGACTACAACATCCGCTACGGAGCCAGCATCCGCCTGACCACGTCCGGTGCGCCTCTCTCCATCGCCATCAGCACAGGCGCCGCCGGTGCTGCCGATGGTGGCGCGGCCATTCTTGAGTTCTCCACCGCCGAAGCTACCTGGACCAACATGACGTGGAACGGCACCCGCAGGGACGCCCGCGGCCGCAAGCGCGCCGCCCCTGTTCCCAAGTACTTCGGTTTCTTCCGCCCCTCAGCTCGCACCAGCTATGTGTACGGGTTCTCTGGGGTGTGGTACAATGTGACGCAGTACAGTAACGCGGCTGGACAGAGTTATTTCGAGGTGGCGAATCTGCTCCTGGCGAATCCGAGTGGGTACTATGGGATTGTGAAGACTGAGGCGTTTGCGGATGGAGCTGCCCGCGGGCAGTTAGCGAATTTCACCCGCCCAACCCCCGAGACGTACTGGCAGCGCAGCTAGGGGTAGGGTGAGGAGCAAGAGTAGCAGGGGGGTGTGTCAAACATGTTTAGTTATCATGCTTGTATAGACTGTATAGGGTCATCTTCTAGAGAGTACAACTGTTAGGTATATGTTTGTGTACTCTCTCTCTCTCAATTCATTAATTTCACTGTTTGATATGGTATCACGCGTAGGTAGGATCCCCCCCACCCCCCCCCCCCCCCCCTCACGCTTCCGCTCGCCCCCTAGCTGGGCCCCGTCGTGCTCCTAGCCCCGTCGCGACCCTCCCTCGCCCCGTCGCGACCCTCCCTAGCCCCGTCGCGCCCCTTCCTGGGCCCCGTTGCGCCCCTTTCTGGGCCCCGTAGCGCCCCTCCAGGGCCCCGTCACGCTCCTCCCAGGCCTCGTAGCGCCCCTCCTGGGCCCCATTGCGCTCCTCCCAGGCCCCGTCGCGCCCCTTCCCGGGTTTCGTAGCGCCCCTCCAGGCCCCGTCGCGCCTCTTCCAGGGCTTCGTAGCGCCCCTCCAGGCCCCGTCGCGCCCCTTCCAGGGCCTGGTAGCGCCCCTCCAGGGCCTCGTCGCCCTCCTCCCAGGCCCCGTAGCGCCCCTCCTGGGCCCCATTGCGCTCCTCCCAGGCCCCGTCGCGCCCCTCCCTAGCCCAGTCGCGCTCCTCCCAGGCCCTGGTAGCGCCCCTCCTGGGCCCCATTGCGCTCCCCCCAGGCCCCGTCGCGCCCCTACCTGGGCTTGGTAGCGCCCCTCCAGGCCCAGTCGCGCCCCTCCCCAGCCCCGTCGCGCCCCTCCCAAGCCCCGTCGCGCCCCTCCCAGGCCCCCCTCGCGCCCCTCCCAGGGCCCGTAGCGCCCCTCCTGGGCTCGTCGCGCCCCTCCTGGGCCCTAGCGCCCCTCCTGGGCCCGTAGCGACCCTCCTGGGCCCCGTCGAGCCCCTCCTGGGCCCCGTCGCCCCTGCTCGGCCCCGTCGCGGCCTCTCGGCCACGTGGCGCCCGCCCGGCCCCTGTCGCGGCTGCCCGGCCCCTGTCGCCCTGCCCGGCCCCTGCTCGCCCGCCCGGCCCCGTCGCCCCTGCCCGGCCCTGCTGTGTCCTGCCCGGGCCCCGCCCCTGCCGCCCGACCTTGTCGCAGCCGCCCGGCCCCGTCGCAGCCGCCCGGCCCCGTCGCCCCTGCCCGGCCCTGCTGTGTCCTGCCCGGCCCCGTCCCTGCCGCCCGGCCCCGTCGCAGCCGCCCGGCCCCGTCGCAGCCGCCCGGCCACGTCGCAGCCGCCCGGCCCCGTCGCAGCCGCCCGGCCCCGTCGCCGCCGCCCGGCCTTGTCGTGCCTGCCCGGCCCTGACGCGCCTGCCCCGGCCCTCCATACTTCCTGGTACTGTCCCCCGTTCCCCGCACCACTTTGCACCCTCCTTCACTTTCCTGCCCCGCCTTGCACCGCATTGCACCTCACTGGACCGCACCGCCCGCACTGCACCGCACTGGACCGTACTGCACCGCACGGCATTGCACTGCACCGCACTGCATTGCACTGCACTGTCCTCCACTGCCCCTCATGGCTGCTGAGCTTCGTTTTGATGCTGAGGGTCAGCCTCTGGAGTTCGAGGCGTGGTTGGCTGACCTTCGCCGCCACCTCACTGGCCAGCGGCAGGACGGCCACCCGCTTTCTGCACACCTAGACGGTATGCTCCCCTGCCCTGACCCCCCTGCTGTGCTGCCCGCAGATCCCACGCCCGCTGAGCGCGAGTCCACTGCCGCTGCTGCCCTTGCCCGCTCTGTCTGGCTTTCCCGCGATGCCCTTGCTCAGCTCGCCATTAGCAATGCCCTCCCCCCCCTGAGCGCCCTCGCTTTAGAACCATTACTACCGCCCAGGCCTACCTTGATGCTGTCATCAAGCGCTATTCTACCCCTCCTGCTGCCTCAGTGGGTCGCCTGATCCTCCCCCTGCTCTTTCCTGACCTGGCGTCTTTCCCCACTGTCTCTGACCTCGCTGCCCACCTGCGCTCGATAGATGAGGCCTGGCGCGCTGCCTGCACTGATGCACAGCTTAGAGTCCACCAGCCTCCCATGACCTCCACCCTCTACCTCCTTGCCACCCGCCTCCCTGACCGCCTTGCCGCCGCCCGCGACCAGTTCCTTAGCATCCATCCTGCTGCTCTCACCCTCACCGACTTTGTTGACACCCTGACTGCCATAGAGACTCGTCACCGCTCCATAGCCCAGGCGAGCGGTACAGTACCGGTCCCTATCTTTCAGGGTTGTGCCCCCGCTCAGTGTACCTTCTCCGACGGCTCTGTCGCTGTGGCTGAGACTGCTGCTGCAGTGCAGTCCCGCTCGGCGAAGGGCCGCCGCCCCAAGGTTGGGGGCGGCGGAGGCGGCGGGGGTGCGGGTGGGGGTAGTGGTGGAGGCGGGTCGTCCGGTGCCGGTGCGGACGTGGGGACCCTGCCCGGTCCAGCTGCTCCGCTGCCTCCACCGTTGCAGCAGCAGCAGCAGCAGCAGCAGCAGTCGCCGCAGCCGCAGCCTTCGCAGCAGCCGCAGCAGCCGCCGCAGACGAGGCCGGCGAGTGCTCTCCCGCCTGGGTGGCCTGGAGCTGGTGGTGGTCGTGCGCGTGGTGGTGCACCGGGTGGTGGTTCTGGAGGCGGGCCCTGTCAGTACCAGATCCAGACCGGTCCTCGCCGCGGCTTCGTTTGCGGTAAGATCGGTCATTCTACTCCTCGCTGTTTTCGTCGTCTGGACGACCTGTTCCGCCAGCGCTTTGGCCCGGCGCCCGACCTCCCAGACTGGCACAGCTTGCTTAGGCGTAGCATTAGGATTTTTGACTTGGACATGGATGCCATTGTAGCAGCCTTGCATGTGATGTATGCTGATGACTCTAGTGTGCTTCCCTCTTATTACCCCGTGTTGCCTAGTGTAGCGGTGCCTAGCGTAGACTCCCCTGCTGCGTCAGGCGTAGGATCTCCTGCTTTGCTTAGCCTTGGTGCTTCCACCGCTTCACTGCCGCCTCACGCGACTGCTGCGCTTTCCTTCACCTTGGACTCTGGCGCCTCCCGGTGTTTCTTCCGCGACTCCACGACGCTGACGCCGCTGCCTGTTCCCGCTGCCGTTACTCTTGCTGACCCCTCCGGTGGTCCCGTCGTTGCCCGCAGTTCCACCTCCCTTCCCTGTCCGGCGGTTCCTTCAGGTTCGCTCACCGGTCTGCATATCCCCTCGTTCTCCAGGAACCTAGTTGGTGTCGGCTGCCTCCAGGACCTTGGCGTCACCACTACGTTCCCTGGTCACGAGCGGTATGCTGTCTGTACCGAGGCCGCCACTGGTGCCCCCCTTACCACTTTCCCCCGGGACCCGGTGTCCGGCCTGTTCACACTTGACACCGCGACGTCCCCGGCTGGGTCTTCCCCCCCGGTAGCTGCGTCCACCCAGGTTGCTGCCGCGTGCTCCTGTCGGTCCCTCACTCACCCGACTCTCCTTTGGCACCACCGCCTTGGTCACCCTGCACTCCCACGTCTGCGTCACATGTCCCAGCACGGTCTCGTCCTTGGTCTCCCCGGTTCGTTCCCCGACTTTCCCTCCTCCCCCGCCCCACCGTGCACGCCTTGTGTCGAGGGCCGGCTCCGCCGTGCCCCTCACTCCTCCTCTTTTCCCCCTACCACCGCACCACTGCAGACTCTGCACATGGACGTCTGGGGCCCAGCCCCGGTCCATGGGCCGCGTCGCGAGCGCTTCTTCCTAGTGCTTGTCGACGACTTCACGCGCTACACCACCGTCTTCCCCCTGGAGCGGAAGGCCGGCGTGCCTGACGTTCTCATCCCCTGGCTTGTCTCTGCTCGTGTCCACCGCGGTCTCCTTGCCTTGCGCCTCCACTCCGACCGGGGTGGCGAGTTTGCCTCAGGTGTCCTTGGTCGCTTCTGTCGTGCGGAGGGCATCACCCAGACGTTTACCCTGCCGGACTCCCCGCAGCAGAATGGGGTCGCTGAGCGACGCATCGGTTTGGTCATGGAGGTGGCTCGCACCTCCATGATCCACGCCGGTGCACCCCATTTTCTGTGGCCGTTCGCCGTGCGCTACGCCGCTCACCAGCTTAACCTGTGGCCGCACCCCCAGCGGCCGCAGGTTTCGCCGACCCTTCTGTGGACCGGGTCCCCTGGTGACGCGTCTGCGTTCCACGTCTGGGGCTGCCTTGCCCACGTTCGTGCCTCTGGCACGGACAAGCTCACTGCCCGCACCCTCCCCTGCGTCTTCCTCGGTTTCCCCCTTGACGCGTCTGACTGGCACTTCTACCACCCGCCGTCCCACCGCTTCTTTCACTCTCGCGACGTCACCTTTGACGAGTCCGTCTCCTTCTACCGCCGCTTCCCTCACCGTGGTCCCCCGGTTACTCCCCCCCTGTTCCTGGTCCCTCCTTCCCCGGTGGTCCCTGCCCCTCCCCCCCCCCCCCGCCCCCCCGTCCGGCCCCCTCTGGTGTGTCTCACGTCACCCCCCTCCCGTCGGTCGTCCCGGTCGACGAGTCTTCTGACTCTGGTAGTCCTCCGGCGCAGTCCTCGCCGTCTGTCCCTCCCCCGGTGTCTCCTCCTCCCCCGCCTCCGCAGCCGCCGTCGCCGCAGCTGCTGCAGCCGTCGTCTCCACCGCCGCCGCCGTTGCAGCCGTCGCTGCAGCCGCCGCCGCCGCCGCCGCTGTCGTCCCTGCCGCCGTTTGTGGACTCTGGGGGTGCTGGCGTTGAGGTGGGTACTAGTCCCGGGGCTCCTGTCGTGGCTTGTCCCGGCGGGCCTGGGGGTGGTACCGGTGCTGGCGGGGTTTCGGGCTCTGGGGGTGTCCCTTCTGGGGGTGCAGGTGTGGAGGGTTCGGGAGGTAGCCGTCGCGCAGCTTGTGGCCCTGGTGTTGGTGTTGTGTCGCCGCAGCAGCAGTCCCCGCCTGTGACCGCCCTCCGTCTGCTCGGCCTCCCGTCTCCTGACCCTGCGCCTGTTCCTCTCCTGCCGTCTCCCCCTCTTCCCGTCTACGGCCCCGTGTTCCCTCTGCCAGACTCGTCCCCGGCTCGTCTTCCCCCTCGTTCCCCTCCTGTGTCCCCTCCTCTGTCTCCTGACCCGACGCCGCCCTCACACGTCTGGTCTCGCCGCCCCGCTCGTGCTCGTCCTGTCTCCCCTGTCCCGCGCTCTCACCCTATGTTGCTCCGTTCCCACGCGTCTCGTCCTCCCCTCCTCCCGTCTCCTCCTCCGTCTTCTCTTGTCGTTGCGTCTCCTCCTCTGTCCGACTACTTTCGTGCCGCTCGTCCTCTTGTTCCTCGGGTCCTTGCCTCTCTTGTTACCGACCCGTCTGTTCCAGTGTCGAGTCTTGACGCCCTCGTCGCTGCGGTCGCTGACTTCGCCTCTACCCGCCGCCTTGACTACGCCACCGCTCTGGTCTCTCACCCTGCCTGTCCTCCGTCTGTCGGGGGTGCTCCTGCCCTCGGCAGTGACGTCCTAGAGGACCGCCATTTTGAGCTTGCTTTCCTGTCCGAGGCTGCTCCCCATCTCTGTTCCATGCTGCTAGTCCCTGAGGGTGACCCAGACGCTTTCGACATCCCGACCCCTCGTACTTACGCTGAGGCGGTTTCGGGACCCTGGGCCTCTCAGTGGATAGCTGCCATGGAGCAGGAGATGGCATCTTGGAGATCCACCGGCACCTTCGTCGACGCAGTTCCCCCACCTGGGGTGAACGTGGTCGATGGCCGCTGGCTCTTCAAGGTGAAGCGCCCTCCTGGAGAGCCGCCTGTGTTCAAGGCGCGCTACGTGGCTAGAGGCTTCAGTCAGCGCGAGGGGGTGGACTTCTTTCAGACTTTCGCTCCTACCCCGAAGATGACTACTCTTCGGGTTCTGCTACACGTAGCGGCTCAGCGTGACTACGAGCTTCACTCCCTCGACTTCTCCACTGCCTTTCTTCAGGGCAGCCTTCACGAGCAGGTCTACCTGCGTCGCCCTCAGGGCTTTACTGGCACCTTCCCCCCTGGGACCCAGTGGCTTCTGCGGCGGCCAGTCTACGGCCTGCGCCAGGCGCCTCGTGAGTGGCACGACACTTTGCGTGCTACCCTTGCTGACCTGCAGTTCTTTCCGTCCTCTGCAGACCCCTCGCTCTTCGTTCGTGCTGGCTCGACTCCGTTCTACATCCTCGTCTACGTAGACGACCTGGTCTTTGCCACTGCTGACAGGGACGCACTGGCCTCCGTGAAGGCAGAGCTGCTGAAGAGACACACCTGCACTGACCTGGGAGAGCTGCGCCGTTACCTTGGCTTACAGATCTCCAGGGACAGAGCCGCGCGCACCATCACCCTGACTCAGTCACACTTGGTGCGCCAGGTCCTTCAGAGGTTCGGCCTTCAGTTCTCCTCCGCACAGCCCACCCCTCTTCCTCTGGACCACAGACTCTCCGCTCCAGTTCCTGAGGAGTCGGTAGATCCCAGTGGTCCTTACGCTGAGCTAGTGGGTTGCCTCATGTACCTTATGACTTGCACTCGCCCAGATCTCGCATACCCTCTCAGCATCCTGGCTCGTTTCGTGGCCACAGGCAGACACCGACCTCAGCACTGGTCTGCCGCTAAGAGGGTTTTGCGTTATCTTGCAAGTACATCGGGCATGGGGTTAGTGCTAGGCGGACGCAGGCCAGTGGTCCTTACTGGACACACAGACGCTTCTTGGGCAGACGACGCCGAGACGCTCAGGTCTTCCCAGGGCTACTGCTTTAGCCTTGGCTCAGGTGCTGTCTCGTGGAGAGCTACCCGCTCTTCGTCTGTTGCCCAGTCCAGCTGTGAGGCCGAGATCTACGCCGGTGCCATGGCGGCACAGGAGCTCCGCTGGCTGACCTTCTTGCTCACTGACTTAGGTGAGCGGCCTAGCTCTGCCCCCGTCCTGTACGCTGACAACAGGGCCATGATCCTCCTGTGTCAGGAGCCTCGACTCGAGGGCAGAGCGAAGCACATCCAGCTGCGGTACTTCCTCCTGCGTGAGCTACAGCAGCGTCGCCAGGCTCGCGTAGTACACTTAGCCTCCGGTGCCAACACAGCTGATATCTTTACGAAGGCGCTTGCGCCTAAAGATCATCAGCGGCACTGTGTACAGCTTGGTCTGGTTCCTGTAGTCTCTCACTTACTCGGGCCTTGACTTTGTACTGTCCTATATATATCTGTGTGTACACTCAGACTGGACTTGTGTCCTCTTACAGTGGTTGGACTAGTAGTGCCGCCCTGTCCTAGTTCTTGCCTTGCCTGTACTCCTTCTGACTGGTCTTTTAGACCCTTGTCTCAGAGGCTGGACTAGTAGTGCCACCCTGAGCTGCTTGTCTAGAACATTCCCCTATGCAGTCCAGGGGGTGTGTCAAACATGTTTAGTTATCATGCTTGTATAGACTGTATAGGGTCATCTTCTAGAGAGTACAACTGTTAGGTATATGTTTGTGTACTCTCTCTCTCTCAATTCATTAATTTCACTGTTTGATAGGGTGGTCATCCCGGAGAATGCAGCTAGTTACACAAGATTTTGCCAATTGTGAAAGTTGCTTAGTCCATCTTGCAAAGGCAGCGTTGACAGCGTTGACGGCATCGAACTTATGACTTGAGTGGAATGCCGCCCCGTTGAATCGATCGAATTGTGTGCGCCAAAACAATAACTCTTAAACTGCTGCCGGCGACAGCAACGTCCTGGAGCTCCAAGATGTGGCATGGGCGATGATTTGTAGTAGCTCTTGGCTGAAGACGCGTGCTGTTGCACCTAGCGCCAGTGCCATCGATGCTAGCATACCGGTAACGCGGGCGATCTGCCGCACCGGAATGTGATGTCCCGCTTGTCCTTTTACGATGAGGGTCTGGAGGGTGCTCAGGAGTTGCTCCCGTCGTTCCGAGCCGATCGAAAACATGCCCCCGGCTGTGTCCAACTCCAGACCGAGGAAGCGTAATTGTTGGGATGGGTGAAGATGTGACTTCTTCGCATTTATGACGAAGCCTGCTGCCTTGAGGTCCTGTAAAACCTTGGTACATGTGGACCGTGCCTGCTGAGCTGAGTCGCATAGGAAGAGCAAGTCGTCGACAAACGGAACGACCCGCACGCTTCGCGCACGCCATCGTTTTCTCTTTTGCTGCCCTTTTATCTTTTCGCTCTCTTCTCTCTCCCACTCTCTCTCCCTCTCTCTCTCTCTCTCTCTCTCTCTCTCTCTCTCTCTCTCTCTCTCTCTCTCTCTCTCTCTCTCTCTCTTTATCTCTCTCTCTCTCTCACTATCTCTCACTCTCTCTCTCTCTCCCTCTCTCTCTCTCTCTCTCTCTCTCTCTCTCTCTCTCTCTCTCTCTCTCTCTCTCTCTCTCTCTCTCTCTCTCTCTTTCTTTCTCTCTCTTTCTCTCTCTCTCTCTCTCTCTCTCTCTCTCTCTCTCTCTCTCTCTCTCTCTCTCTCTCTCTCGCTCTCGCTCTCTCTCTCTCTCTCTCTCTCTCTCTCTCTCTCTCTCTCTCTCTCTCTCTCTCTCTCTCTCTCTCTCTCTCTCTCCCTCTCTCTCTCTCTCTCTCTCTCTCTCTCTCTCTCTCTCTCTCTCTCTCTCTCTCTCTCTTTCTATCTCTCTGTCTCTCTCTCACTCTCTCTCTCTCTTCCTCTCTCCCTCTCTCTCTCTCTCTCTCTCTCTCTCTCTCTCTCTCTCTCTAGCTTTCTCTCTCTCTCTTTCTCTCTCTCTCTCTCTCGCTTTCTCTCTCTCTCTTTCTCTCTCTCTCTCTCTCTCTCCCTCTCTCTCTCTCTCTCTCTCTCTCTCTCTCTCTCTCTCTCTCTCTCTCTCTCTCTCTCTCTCTCTCTCTATCTATCGTTTTCTCTTTTGCTGCCCTTTTATCTTGCTCTCCCTCCCTTGTCCTTCTTCTGTTGTTGCTGGTATCTTTCGGCATGGCTCGAGGCATTAGTGAAGCATCATTGCCTCCCGACAAATATCCGTGCTGCTTTTTTTTTTTTTTTTTTTTTTTTTTTGCTTGTTGCTGTTTCGATTGTTTGTGCTGGTTCCGTAAGTGTGCGCACCATGGCTTACCCATGAGCGATTGCATGTTTTCGGCCAGCAACCTCAAGTTGTGGCCTTTTTTTTTTTTTTTTTTTTTTTTGATAATGATAATAATGAAAGCCCGGACTATCAACTTATACTATGAGCAAGAGTGCTCGACACACAAACGTTGCAGCAAACACCTAGGCCTAGTAGCCATTTCTGCCCCTAGGGCTGAAGCTTGTAGGACCCTCTGGTCCCCATGCCTATTCCCGAGGCTCACAACCAGCCCCACAACACCGCTCCCCTGCCCAGACCCCCCTGCTATTCTGGCATACTTAGATGCTGTGATCAAGCGCTATTCCACCCCTCCGGCTGCCTCGGTGGGTCGCCTGATCCTTCCGATGCTCTTTCCTGACCTTGCATCTTTCCCCACTGTCTCTGACCTCGCTGCCCACCTGCGCTCGATAGATGAGACCTGGCGCGCTGCCTGCACTGACGCCCAGCTTAGAGCCCACCAGCCGCCCATTACCTCTACCCTCTACCTGCTTGCCACCCGCCTCCCTGACCGCCTTGCTGTCGCCCGCGACCGCTTTCTTAGCGTTCACCCCGCAGACCTCACCCTCACTGACTTTGTAGACACCCTGACTGTGATAGAGACCCGTCACCGCTCCATTGCCCGGGCGAGCGGTGTCGTGCCGGTCCCTATCTTTCAGGGTTGTGCCCCCGCTCAGTGCACCTTCTCCGACGGCTCTGCCGCAGTGGCTGAGACTGCTGCTGCAGCGCAGGTCCGTTCGGGGAAGGGTCGCCGCCCCAAGGCTGGGCGCGGCGGAGGAGGCGGCGGGGGTGCGGGCGGGGGTAGTGGTGGGGTCGGGTCGCCTGGTGCTGGAGTGGACGAGGGGACCCTGCCCAGTTCAGCTGAGTCGCCGCCCTTGAAGGTGCAGCAGCCGCAGCAGCCGCCGAAGTCGCAGCCTTCGCAGCAGCCGCAGCAGCCGTCGCAGACGCGGCAGATGAGTGTCCTCCCGCCAGGGTGGCCCGGCGCTGGCGGTGGCCGGGCGCGTGGTGGTGTGCCGCGTGGTGGCTCTGGCGGCGGGCGTTGTCAGTACCAGATCCAGACCGGTCCTCGCCGCGGCGTCGTTTGCGGTAAGCTCGGTCACTCCACTCCCCGCTGTTTTCGTCGCCTGGACGACCTCTTTCGTCAGCGCTTCGGCCTGTCGCCAGACCTCCCGGACTGGCACAGTTTGCTTAGTCGTAAGATTCAGATTTTTGATATGGACATGGATGCCATTGTTTCTGCTCTGCATGTGATGTATGCTGATGACTCTAGTGTGCTTCCCGCTTATTACTCACTGTTGCCTAGTGTAGGTGTGCCTAGCTTAGCCTCCCCTGCTGCGTCAGCCGTAGGATCCCCTGCTTTGTGTAGTCTTGGTGCTTCCGCCGTCGTTCCGTCGCCAGACCCCTCGGCTTCGCTTTCCTTCACCTTGGACTCTGGCGCCTCTCGGTGTTTCTTCCGCGACTCCACCACCCTGACGCCGCTTCCTGTTCCTGCTGTCGTTTCTCTTGCTGACCCCTCCGGCGGTCCGGTAGTCGCCCGCAGTTCCACCACCCTTCCCTGTCCGGCGGTTCCTTCGGGTTCTCTTACAGGTCTGCATATCCCCTCGTTCTCCAGGAACCTAGTTGGTGTCGGCTGCCTCCAGGACCTTGGCGTCACCACTACGTTCCCTGGTCACGAGCGGTATGCTGTCTGTACCGAGGCCGCCACTGGTGCCCCCCTGTCCACGTTCCCCCGGGACCCGGTGTCCGGCCTGTTCACTCTGGACACCGTGACCCCCCCGGCTGGAGCGCCCCCTCAGGTGGCTGCGTCTACCCAGGTTGCTGCTGCCTGCTCCTGTCGCTCCCTCACTCACCCGACCCTCCTGTGGCACCACCGCCTAGGTCACCCTGCGCTCCCGCGTCTGCGTCACATGTCCCAGCACGGTCTCGTCCTTGGTCTCCCAGGTTCGCTCCCCGCGTTTCCCTCCTCTCCAGCCCCACCTTGCACGCCTTGTGTCGAGGGTCGGCTTCGCCGTGCCCCTCACTCCTCCTCGTTTCCCCCTACCGCCGCGCCACTTCAGACCCTGCACCTGGACGTCTGGGGCCCCGCCCCCGTCCCTGGGCCGCGTCGAGAGTGCTACTTCCTTGTGCTTGTTTACGACTTCACTCGTTACACCACAGTCTTTCCCCTGGAGCGCAAGGCCGATGTGCCTGGCGCTCTCATCCCCTGGCTTGTCTCTGCGCGTGTCCACCGCGGTCTCCCTGTCTTGCGTCTTCACTCAGACCGTGGTGGCGAGTTTGCCTCCGGTGTCCTTGGTCGCTTTTGTCGTGCGGAGGGCATCACCCAGACGTTCACCCTACCGGACTCCCCACAGCAGAATGGGGTCGCTGAGCGACGCATCGGTTTGGTCATGGAGGTCGCTCGCACCTCCATGATCCATGCCGGTGCACCCCATTTTCTGTGGCCGTTCGCTGTGCGCTACGCTTCTCACCAGCTTAACCTGTGGCCGCACCCTCAGCAGCCGCAGGTTTCGCCGACCCGTCTTTGGACTGGGTCCCCTGGTGACGCGTCTGCGTTCCACGTCTGGGGCTGCCTTGCTCACGTCCGTGCCTCCGGCACGGACAAGCTCACTGCCCGCACCCTTCCCTGCGTCTTCCTCGGTTTTCCCCTTGACGCGTCCGACTGGCACTTTTACCACCCGCCGTCTCACCGCTTCTTTCACTCTCGTGACGTCACCTTTGACGAGTCTGTCTCCTACTACCGCCGCTTTCCCCACCGTGGTCCCCCGGTTACCCCCCCCCTGTTCCTGGTCACCCCTTCCCCGGTAGTCCCTGCCCCTCCTCCTCCTCCTCCCCGTCCCGCCCCCTCTGGTGTGTCCCACGTCACCCCCCTTCCGTCCGTGGACCCGGTTGAGGAGTCTTCTGACTCTGGTGGCCCTCCTGTGCAGTCCTCGCCGGCCGCCCCTCCCCAGGTGTCCCCTCCCCAGTCCCCTCCTCCACCGCCACTACCGCTGCTGCAGCCGTCGTCGTCGCCGCCGCCGCCGCCGCCGCCGTCGCCTCCGCCGCCGCCGCCGCCGCCGTCGCAGCCCCCGTTCGCTGACTCTGGGGGTGCTCGTCCCAGTCGCCCTGGGGGTGGTCCCTCTGGGGGTGCTGGTGTGGAGAGTGCCGGTGGTCGCCGAGGAGCAGCTTGCGGTCCAGGTGTCGCCGTTGTGCCGCCGCAGCAGCGGTCCCCGCCGGTGTCCGCCCTTCGCCTGCTCGGCCTTCCGTCCCCCGACCCTGCGTCGGTTCCTCCCCGACCGTCTCCTCCTCTTCCTGTCTACGGCCCTGTTTTCCCTCCGCCGGACTCGTCCCCGGCTCGTCTCCCCCCTCGTTCCCCTCCTGTGTCCCCTCCCCTGTCTCCTGACCCGACTCCTCCGTCGCACGTCTGGTCTCACCGCCCCTCCCGTGCTCGTCCTGCCTCGCCTGTCTTGCGCTCCCACCCTATGTTGCTTCGTTCCCACGCGTCTCGTCCTCCCCTTCTCCCGTCGCCTCCTCCGTCCTCCCTTGTTGTTGCGCCCCCCCCGCTGTCTGACTACCTTCGTGCCGCTCGTCCTCTCGTTCCTCGGGTCCTTGCCTCTCTCCTTATCGACCCGTCTGTTCCGGTCTCGTGCCTTGCCGCTCTTGTCGCTGCTGTCGCTGACTTCGCCTCTACCCGCCGCCTTGACTACGCCACCGCTCTGGTCTCTGACCCTGCCTGTCCTCCGTCTGTCGGGGGTGCTCCTGCCCTTGGCAGTGACGTCCTGGAGGACCGCCAGTTCGAGCTTGCTTTCCTCTCCGAGGCTGCTCCCCATCTCTGTTCCATGCTGCTAGTCCCTGAGGGTGACCCAGACGCTTTCGACATCCCGACCCCTCGCACTTACGCTGAGGCGACTTCGGGACCCGGGGCCTCGCAGTGGATAGCTGCCATGGAGCAGGAAATGGCATCTTGGAGATCCACCGGCACCTTCGTCGACGCAGTTCCCCCACCTGGGGTGAACGTAGTCGATGGCCGCTGGCTCTTCAAGGTGAAGCGCCCTCCTGGAGAGCCGCCTGTCTTCAAGGCGCGCTATGTGGCTAGAGGCTTCAGTCAGCGCGAGGGGGTGGACTTCTTCTAGACCTTCGCTCCGACCCCGAAGATGACTACTCTTCGGGTTCTGTTACACCTAGCTGCTCAGCGTGACTACGAGCTTCACTCCCTCGACTTCTCCACTGCCTTCCTTCAGGGCAGTCTACACGAGCAGGTCTACCTGCGTCGCCCTCCGGGCTTTACTGGCACCTTCCCTCCTGGGACCCAGTGGCTCCTGCGGCGCCCCGTCTACGGCCTGCACCAGGCTCCCCGTGAGTGGCACGACACTCTCCGTGCTACCCTTGCTGACCTGCAGTTCTTTCCCTCTTCCGCAGACCCTTCACTCTTCGTTCGTGCTGGCCAGACTCCGTTCTACATCCTTGTTTACGTCGACGACCTGGTCTTTGCCACGGCAGACAGGGACGCACTGGCCTCCGTGAAGGCAGAGCTGCTGAAGAGACACACCTGCACTGACCTTGGAGAACTGCGCCGTTACCTTGGCTTGCAGATCTCCAGGGACAGAGCTGCGCGCACCATCACCCTGACTCAGTCACACTTGGTGCGCCAGGTCCTTCAGAGGTTCAGCCTTCAGTTCTCCTCTGCACAGCCCACCCCTCTGCCTGTAGACCACAGACTCTCTGCTCCAGTACCTGAGGAGTTGGTAGAGCCCAGCGGCCCCTACGCAGAGCTGGTGGGTTGCCTCATGTACCTGATGACTTGCACTCGTCCAGATCTCGCATACCCTCTCAGCATCCTGGCGCGCTTTGTGGCCAGGCAGACACCGACCGCAGCACTGGTCTGCCGCTAAGAGGGTTCAGCGTTATCTTGCTAGTACATCGGGCATGGGGTTAGTGCATGGAGGACGCAGGCCAGTGGTCCTTACTGGACACACAGACGCTTCGTGGGCAGACGACGCTGAGACACTCAGGTCTACCCAGGGCTACTGCTTCAGCCTTGGCTCAGGTGCCGTCTCGTGGAGAGCTACTCGCTCCTCGTCTGTTGCACAGTCCAGCTGTGAGGCTGAGATCTACGCTGGTGCCATGGCGGCACAGGAGCTCCGCTGGCTGACCTTCTTGCTCACTGACTTAGGTGAGCAGCCTAGCTCTGCCCCGGTCCTGTTCGCTGACAACAGGGCCATGATCCTCCTGTGTCAGGAGCCTCGACTCGAGGGCAGAGCGAAGCACATTCAGCTGCGGTACTTCCTCCTGCGTGAGCTACAGCAGCGACGTCAGGCTCGCGTAGTACACTTGGCCTCAGGTGCCAACACAGCTGATATCTTTACGAAGGCGCTTGCGCCTAAAGATCATCAGCGGCACTGTGTACAGCTTGGTCTAGTTCCTGTCGCTTCTCACTTGCTAGGACCTTGACTTGTACTGTCCTTTATATGTATACTCAGACTGGACTTGTGTCCTCTCCCAGTGGCTGGACTAGTAGTGCCGCCCTGGTCTTGTTTGCCTTGTCTGTACTCCTTCTGACTGGTCTCTCAGACCCCTGTCTCAGAGGTTGGACTAGTAGTGCCGCCCTGAGCTGCTTGTTTAGGGTATTCCTCTATGCAGTCTAGGGGGTGTGTCAAACATCTGTATTTGTCATGTTTGTATAGACTGTATAGGGTTACCTCTTAGAGGGTACAACACTTAGGTATATTTGTGTGTACTCTCACTTTACCATCATTCAATTCTAATTCTGATACTTAGGTCCATTGCATGGGAAAACTGGAGTTCGGGTGTTGGGGGGAAGGGGAGGGGGCGGGAGGGGGCAAACGGAAGTGTGTGAAAATGTGAAGGATGGAGAGTGATGCAAAAGTGGGAACAAAAAGCTAGATCATCATATTCCTTACCACAATGCCCGTCGAATCCTCTCAGCTGCCTCACAACGTCCCGAATAGCCACCAAGCACTGTCACACGTCACCGATACCGAACAAATCGTAGCACAACCATCACAGTATCGCGTGCCGCATAACCCTCACATCCCCCACCTCATGTGCATGCCCCCCTCCACCCGTCCCCTCCCCGGTGCCACCTCCCCCCTGCCCCATCCACCTGCCCCTCTGCACCGTGCCCCACCTCCCCAAACAGCAGATGCAGCTGAGCAAAAGGAGAAAGCATTGTGGACGCATTCGGCAACGGAGGTGAGGAGGTGTGTGCAGGTGAGTGTGCATGGGGAGGGGAGAAGGCGAGTGTGGAGTGAGTGAGGGAGAGAGTGTGGGAGTGAGTGTGAGTGGCACGATGTGAGTAAGCCTCGCCTCCTGCCCGGTGCCTCTCACTGCGTCCCTCATCTGCACGCGGCACACCATGCCGCACAGCAGCTCTGACAGCACGCATGCTGGAAAAACGAGAGGGAGAGGAGAGGGGAACGGGTGGCGAATGGCAGAGGGAGGTGCCGTGAGTCGGAGAACGCACATGGCGTCATTTGCAAACGACAGACCATGCCGCACAGCAGCTCTGACAACACACAGGCTGGGAATAATATAGGCGAGGGGAGAGCGGCGCAGGAGGGCGGACCGTGGCGGAGATAGCAAGGATCGAAATTAATAGAAACGACAGCATGACGGCTGCATGCGCTGACAAAGCGAGTCTACCTGCATGAGGGTATTTGCCAACGAAGCACATCCACTGGGAGCCATTGCAGCCAATCAACAGTTGAGCTGCCTTGTCAAAGGCCACAGCAGCCAACGGCTGGGATTCCCCCGGCAGCACCAGGAGCAGCTGATAGGCGTCGCGACACCATTCAGAAGGAAGGGTGTGGGGGGGACGGCGAGGCAAGTCAGCGGAAGTGCAGGAAAATGGGGGTTGGGGGAGGAGGTAGTGGCTAGGGCGTGATGGGTTTAGATATGGTTGCATGCTTGAGCTCTTGCAGGAGTCGTGAAAAACTATGCTTTGATGAATAGATTCCGAAGCAAACGCTCTTTTAGTTAGATAAGCACTGTGCTCAAAGCTCATCACATTGAGCCTTACCACCACCAATCTCTGTCCTTCTTTAAATACAGTCAAGTAAGAAGCTCTGCAATGCTGCCTTAAGCAGTGTGGATCGATACCAGCTTCCCCTCAGTGTGTTCGATGTTCAGTTTTGAGACATCTCAAAACCAAAACAAGCTCCGCAATGCTGCCTTAGCATTGTGGATAGATACCAGCTTCCCCTCAGCGTGACAGAAGTTTAGTTTTGAGAGACGTCTCAAAACCAAAAGAAGCTCCGCCGCAATGCTGCCTTGAGCATTGTGGACAACTAGCTTCCCCTCGGCGTCGTGAATCTTACTCACACCTTTCACCTCATCTCACTCTACACCTTTCCTTGCCTCCTTCACTATCACGCCTTCCACCTCGCCTCATTCTCTTGTTTATAAGCACCTCGCCCAATAATCACCCTGAGCTTAAACAGCTGCGTTTGCCGCGCGATTGCCTGAATCGGCTTGGCAGAGCGATCTGCCAGCTGGCACTCGCTGCACGCCCACTGGCGCCACGTGGCGACCTGCTGGCCTCTCACGGTGTACTCTGACAGGGAGCGCGTGCAGCGCGCACACGCAGGGTAGCTGACGTGGCGTTGGGGGTGCAGAGGGGGGGAGGGGGGAGAGTGAGGGGAGAAGTGTTTCGCGAGAGAGCATTCACGTAGGAGCACAAGTTGCAGTTGACGCACCATAGATTCGCCGTGTCTACCAGCAGCGACTATCTTGCACTGAGGCACCCACCAGAACCGATCATCACCGAAACCAAAAACAATAAAGCTGTTTTGGACGCACCACAGATTCGTCGTGTCAGCGGCAATTATCGTGCACCGAGGCACCACGCGCATCTCTCCAGCGATAGTTTTTTCCAGCAGTCGTACTCGACGCCGTTTGCCTCGACACACACGCACAGACGGACAATAGCTTCGAGCGTTGAACCAGCAGCTACGCGCGACGTTGTCTCCCGCGTTCCACGGACGAAACCACCTTCGCGACGTACTTTCGATTCATAAGTACAGTACTCGTCTTCCACACACGACACGCGTCGCGACGAAAGTGACCTAATCAACCCAGAAGTGCCCAGCGAGAAACGGCGTCGTTTATTGCACCTCAAACCACTGCAAGTCATCATCCCACGCCACGCTGTTCATTCTAGAAGCCTCAGAGGAGAAACTTCCGGGCCCTGCGGGTTACGCTTGGCACAGCGACGGCGGTGAAATGACAAGATCCTGCAGGACAAATGAACGCCGACTGCCAGGTGCTCTTGCCCCTCAAACGTGATCTCGCCGGTCAGAAGTGGTGAGATAATGAAATCCTCGTTATCAGACTGTTAGGGTGAGAGTAGTTCCATGTTTCGGCGAGTTTTTTATTAAAAAACAATTAGCATATGCATTCAATTTAAAAATTAAATCCATAGATGCAGAACAAGAGGCGACAACATGAAAGATTCTCCAGAATAAGACATTTCACCTAAAAGCATCCAGCATAATCCATTGCATGGCACGAGCTACAGTGACCACCTTCATATAGTGCATCCCCCCAAACCTCGCCTTCATCTCTGCTGGAAGGATTTCATCTGGAGTGATCAAAATCGGAGACCTCGCCACCACAACCCCTCTCCCTCCCTTCACTCCTCCCTCCTGATCCCCCTCCTCCACTCCCTCCTCTGACAACCACTCTACATCAGCCTTGAGCCAGCCATCGATGGGCAATATCCTATCCTCTCCAAAAACCACCTTCTTCCCGTCTCGCTCGTACCTCTCCCTCGCATACGGGTGCACCATATCAAGGGCCCGCTGCATCGCTGCTTCATTGATCGATGCCGCCACGTGGCGCACTCCCATTGGCGCTGCTGCAGCCCATGCTGAGAAAGCCGCTGCAAGAGATGATTTGTCTGCTGCTGCAGGCGTGGTGGCTGCTGCTTGTGTTGGTGCAGTACCCAAGCCTAATGCCTCCTCTAAAGCAGCAGAAGTCTTGCACTTGACCCACAAAGTGTGGCTCTGGCACGGCCAGAACTTGCCCTGCGTCTGCAGCCACGCAGACTGCAGCACGGTGGTCGGGGAGGAGTTGTTATGCGGGCCGACAAGGGCTGGCTTGGAGCGGATGAAGTCTGGCAGGAAGTCATAGAAGATGGTGTGGGAAACGATGGGGGCGGGGAGGGCTGCAGTGGAAACGCCCGCTTGGGAGAGTATGGCGTCCTGTTGGCGTAGAGGACAGGGATGGGTGAGAGGGAGGGGGGGTGGAGCAGAAGGAGGGAGAGCGGATGAAGTCCGGCTGGAAGTCATCAACGATGGTGTGGGAAACGATGGGGGTGGAGAGCGGTGCAGTGTAAAGGTCTGCTTAAGAGAGAATGGCGTCCTGTTGGTGCCACGACAAGGGAGGGGGGTTGGAGGGTTGGGTGAGGACAGGGATGACGCCCGGCAGGAAGTTGTGAAAGATGGTGTGGTAGGGGAGGGGAGGGGAGGAGAGGGGAGAAGTGGGGGGCGGGTGGGGAGGCTCGCTTGGAAGAGGATGGCGTGCTGTTGCGGGGAGTGGGTGGGAGCAGGAAAGGAGATGAAGTCCAGGGAATGCATGGAAGATGGGAGAGGGGTAGGGAGACCGACTTGTGAGAGGATTGTGCCCTGTTAGAGCCAAGAGAAGGGTAGGGGAGAGGGAAAGGGGGGTGGGGGGGCAGAAGGAAGGAGAGCGGATGGAGCCTGGGAGGAAGGCAGCGAAGGCGGTGTGGGAAGCGAAGGTGCCGCGCCTCCCTGGGAGAGAATGGCGTCCTGTTGATGAGAGATGAGAGTATGGAACACCCAAAACGGCCGTGAAAAGGCAACGTATTTTGAGTCGACTCAGGTGTATTTTGATCAGGTGTATTTTGAGTCCCCCTGGGAGAGAAAGGCGTCCTGCTGTTGAGAATATGGAAACACAAAACGACCGTGAAAAAGGGCAACCCAAGACAAGGAATCACCACGACCTGGGGATTTCCCAGCAGAAGTCTATTCACTGCAAAGGAAGCAGCATTCCGCAGAGGAGTTAAGGGAAGAGGCGGACTGACCAGAACGTGCTGAGGCTCCTCCCTTTCCATGTCCATAGCTTTCCAAAACGGCTGCAGGTAGTCCAAGGACCACCCCACCCCCCCCGCAGCAGCTTCAGCCCTTCCTTGCATGCCCCAGCCTCACTCAACTCCCCCCCATCCTCCCCCCCCACTCCTCCCCTCACCCCTTCTTCCCCTCCCACTCCTCCGCTCCCCCTTCACCTCCCTCTTCGCTGCTCCCTCCCGCCAGCAGCAGCGGCGCCCAGCCATTGTCCGAGTGCAGGTGCAGCAGGATAAACGCCGAAACCAGCCGCCCGATTTCCTCCCTCACCTCCTCCACGGGTCTAGAAGCTTCCAAATCACCCCTCTCTCTGTTTACCACCCCGTTCCCCCCTGCGCGTGGTTCATCCCCTTTATAATCACAAACGGCTTCTGGACGATGGACAGCAGTGGCCCCAGCGCTGCTGCTGTCGCGCTGCCAGGCGCAACAACAGAAGAACCACCTGAAGAATCACCTGACAGGGCACCTGAGGTTCCAGGGTACAGTTCCTTGACTGCTAGAGCCATGGAGATGGGGGAGCCTGACCGTCCCTGGAACCGATAATCGTGAGAGTGGGCCTTGGGAACTGCTGGAGAGAAGTTTCCTCGAAGTTGTGCCATGCTCCGAGCTGGATGAGAGCGAGGCAGGACTCACGCACCACTGGAGTCATCAGGAAGGCGCCCACGCTGGTAGGGGGGGAGAAAGGGAAGTAGAGGGGGAGAGGGGGAGGGGTGCGGGCGAGGGGAGAGTGGAGAGGAGGAGACGTTTCTTGAGCGACGTGCGACAATCAGAGGTGGATGAGGGCGAGGAAGGACTCACGAACCACTGGAGTCATCAGGAAGGCGCCCACGCTGGTACGGGGGAGAGGGAAGAAATAGTGGCCAAGGGAGAGGTGAGGAGAGGGAGGAGAGCCTTGCTTGCCCATTAACACAAGGACCGCTTGGAGAGAGGTGAGGAGAGGGAGGAGAAAGAGGAATGTAACGCTTGTTAGAAACCACACCAAACAGGCCTCTTCACGTTAACTCATTTCAGTAACCCCACCTGTGTCCGAGCGCAAACACCCTGGGAGTTCCCCCACCGCTGGTCACATCTGCGCCATCTCCTTTACTGCTTTCACCGCTGCCTCATACCCGTCCCGCGCCCACGTCTTCCCTTTCACCGGGGTCCGGAACTGTGATCTCCTTCAGCACCGCCACCCACAGGCGCTTCCGCAGGGATGGGGGGGTGGCTGACCTTATAGCGCGGATGAGCGGAGGTAGGAGAGTGCGGGGATGAAGGCTCCAGGGGCGAGGAGGAGGAGGTAGGCGGGAGGGAGGAGAGGGGGAAGTGGCATCTGGTGTGGGTTGGTCACGGGGGAAGGGGGAGGATGTACGCCAGCTGGGTTGGTGGTAAGGGGAAGGGAAAGTAAGCGCAGGTGGAAAAGGAGGATGGAATGAGGTGAATCTGCATTTCAGGTTTTTAAGCTGTCGGCTATCAGGTGATTTTAGGGTGAATCTGTTATCAGGTGTTTTTAGGTGACTCTGCTGTCAGGTGATTCTATGCGAATCAGCTATCAGGCGGACTTTTGGTGAATCAGCTAACAGGTGTTTTGAGCCAAATCTGCTATGAGCTGATTTGAGCCAAATCTGGTATCAGGTGATTTGAGCCAGATCTGCTATCAGGTGTTTTTGAGCCGAATCTGCTTGTAATTTTAAGCGTATCACCTATCAAATGAATATTGGCGAATCTGCTGCCAGGTGCTTTTATGCGTATCAGCTATCAGATGAGTATAGGTGAATCTGCTATCAGGTGCTTTTATGTGTATCAGCGATCAGATTAGTATAGGTGAATTATCAGTTGCTTTTGTGTGCATCAGCTATAAGATAAGTGTAAGTGAATCTGCTATCAGGTGCTTCTTTGTGTATCAGCTATCAGATGAGTACAGGTGAATTTGGTATTAGGCAAATTCAGGTCAGGTGAACCTGCTAGCAGCTGATTTTAGTTGAATCTGGTATATTGCTGCAGTGTCAGGTGATTATGGTATGCCTGCCACTCGCACCTCAGTAGCGACCTCCAGTGGTGATGAGACGTCGTCATCCACGACGTCCTTGTCCTTCCCTCCCCCCGTCATCGCTCTTTTCCTCCCTCGCCCTCACTGCTTGCGTCCGCAGCACCGCCAGCCGCGGCCCTAGCCGCGCAACTAACGGACAGACGCGGCGACGAAGCCACGTGGCGGAAAATCACTGGAGAGCTGCTCGTATGATCCGTGAGCCGGAGGCGACGGACGGACAACACGCGGAGCTCTGAGGGGCGACGGCGGAGCGATGCGTGAGACGAGGAACAACCACCTGAGACCGTTTCTTCGCAGACGTCTCGAAAGACGATGCGCGAGATGAGGGAGAGGTGACGGTGGAGAATAAATGAACGCCATTGACGAGGGAACTATTTTGGGAGCGAAGCTTGCACGAGAGGAAAGGAGAAACCGAGGAGGACATTCGTGGCCATTAAGAATCGCGAGTTATCGGAAACGAGACGAAGAAGATGAAGGAAGAAGAGGAAAGAAGAGGAAGAGGACTCCTTCGGAAGAAATTGAGGAAGAAGAAAGACAACCGTGTTTCGAGACGCCTCAAAATCCGAGGCGGGCACTGGTCACGGTGCCTAAGAGTCGCTCGCGAGATTCGGAAACGAGGCGTCTCATCAGACGAAGAAATCGAGGCCTACAGTGCGGAGAGGAGAGAAGCGAAGGAAGATCTCAGAGCTTGGACGAGAATCTCCCCGGGAAACGCGACGACCCAATTGCAAGTCAGCAGCCACCCAATTTTTTGTTGACGCCATGTTGCTCAGTGCTCTGCACATCCTCACCCCCCAATCCACCTCCACATCTCCATCCGCCCAATCTCCTTCCCTGCCGGACCCATTCTGACCGTCAGACTTGAGTCAAGCAGCAGACATACCAATCGAACGGCGGGAATCGTGTTCGTCATTCTCAAGGGACGGCAAGACATCTCTCAAACACAACATCCCCACCGCCAATGTTTGAGGCGATTCTCGGCTTCTGATTGGCTCTTGAAGCCAGGGACCCAAGTTTCTAGAACCTGGGGCAGTGTTTTACAGTTGGTTGGAAGAACCCAGGTTTTGTGTCCTGAGGGTGCATGAATTGCAACACTCCCAGGCAGTTTCACTGGTGCCTA